GCCAGCACCAGGCATTGTGAATAGTCACCTCATTCCCAGCGTGAAGAGTGTTGATAACCATTTTCCTGTGTTTTTGCCCCATGAAAGAAATTAGTTATATCCACTAATTGTTAAGGAAGACTAAGTCTTTCTATTTTGCATCAGGATTGGGTCAGTTAAGTACTGTGCATCCCAGTGCTTCAGCTTTCTTCTGCAAGCACATTTTAAAAATGTTTTTTTTTTCGTTCTCTGTATGTTGAGTAATTCCAATGGATTTAAGATACAGTATCACATAAATCCACTGTTCCTTATATTCATGTTAAATGTGATTTTTATGTGAGAAAGAGAGGGTATTAATTTTGTTCTTCAGAGTAACTATAATCTCCTGAACGATAAAACCCTGTTAATTCTCATGCAGCTAATCCTTAAATAATAATTCACTTAAACTGACTTCACAACAAAAATAACTGCTTATGTGCAAATGATTGTAATGTGGCCTGTGGATTGTACCTTAAATGCAAATGCATAGATAGCTGGAAATTGCTCAGTAGCTTTTTTACTGATCTCAAAAAGTCACAATCTTTTTAAAAAAGATAAGGAGCAAATACTTTAAAGTGGAAGCTAAGAGTTCTAGAAAACTCCTAGCAAAAGCTTAGAAGAGAAAACTATAGCCAGGAATGAAATACAAGAAACACACATACAAAAACCAGGAATGCCTGGTGTTTCTGATCAGAGATATTAAGTAGTCAAGACAGAGGCAGAAGATACTAAATATTTTTGTTCAGATCTTGGGAAAAAGGCAGATAGGGTGTTCACATTGTGGGATGCTTGATAACCCGCTCTCTGTTTTTCACAGTGTTCAGAGAGGAGGGCATTGAACCCTTATGTGATGGTGTTAAGTCAGAAGCCCAGATAATAGATGTCCTTGAGCTGTGAAAAAGCAGGCTGGAGCTGTTGTTGATCATGCATACAGGTTTTTTTGATAGTTCTTAGAAAACAGAAGGAGTTGCATAGGACTTGAAAATTGCCGTGAGACTGATTTCAGAGTGGGGTGACCACTGAAAACATAATGCTGGCAGTCTGGCATTAGGCCTGAGTGAAATAACAAAATCATTGAGGTGATTAATTTAATAAATGTAACGGGTACTAATTAATGATAATGAGTCCTGACTCATGGAAAATATGTATTATGCTAACTACAGTATTCTTGATGTAGCTTAGCATCTTTAAAGTGAAACAGCTAAAATTAGTACAGCTTTTTAACACATTTTGTTTCCAGCTTGCATAACATCTTCGTTAGTAAGCTAGCGTGATGCAAAGTCAATACAATAGCTATTGAAGTGTATAGCAACCAACTGATATCTGTAATGTCATCGTTACTGGGGTGAGTGGAGTTTCAGGGATGTTGCCCTCGGATCTGGTTTCAGCCTTGTTTTTCCTCATGATGTAGGGCTCCAATTGGGGAGTCCCTGAGTGAAGCAGATAGTGTCCATCACGCGTGGCGTGGGGCTGTGGCAGCTTCAGAAGGAGCAACGAGGTTCCTTACCCATGCAGTGAAAACAGTGAACTATAGGAAAGAGTGTGGTAGGCAGATGGAGGCTTACCAGGCTATGCCATCAATCTTCATTTGTCAGAAATCCGTAGATAAAATGAAGTTACTTGTGTTAATATTTGCTGAAATCAGAGACTGCAGAGTGCTCTGTGGTAAAGAATACAGGCCACTGTTGCAGAGCAAACTGGTTCACACCTGTGTTTCTGGGAAACAGTGTGTTTTGTTTCAGCCAGATGTGAAGTTGTGCTGTGGAAGGAAGGGAGTGTGAAGCATTTTTAGAAGGTCAGGGAACGTATCCTAGAAAGCAATAAAATGAAACAGGGGTGTTTTAGTGAATCTGGTGATTGTTTATTCATCAGATCAGTTAATCACATAAAATTCAGGCACCTATTTCATCTACTGCAGTTGGTGTCACTCATAAGCCTGACAATTTGACTTTGATCCACAGGTTAAAACAGTTAGATGATTTGTTGCTTTTACCTGTCAAGTAAATAGCAATGGGCTGAGAGCTGCAGCTTTGGTTCCAGAGGGTGCTGCACATCATTCACACCTCTGTCCTTACCTTTGTGAGGCTGACAACTACTCTTGACTCTGTGGGAATGAGGGATGTTTTTGCAGTCTGTACAGCCTGTGAAAACTCAGTTTAAAGCAGTGATGGATGAAACCTGTCCTTCTAGTCATTCTTCCATCATGGCATTATAGGTGACTGTTTGGCTATTTCTTCTCAAGGCCTAAGTTAGGCTTGTTTTTTGCATTTGCTGTTCCTTTTAGCCCTTGTGAAATCCTGTAAAGAAATTACATGGTTGCGACAATGATGTGTGACTTTCCTTACAATCTCTGTGGTCAGAAACAATCTTTTACTTTCCCTGGGCTGGCACAGTTCTGTATTTCCATTGTTGGAGATGTTCAGTGAATAGCTAGACTATTTTGTTTCAGGTGCCAGTATCAAGTTTTATTTTATTTAGTATTTCTCTGGAGTTGTTGTTGTTTGTTTGTTTTATGATTTGCATCACTCTGATTTGGACACTGTCAATTACAGTGTTATGCTTTAGTAATTCTGTTGCTATTAATAGTAACTTATTCTGATTGATGGTCAGAAAAAAATAGATGAGTGAAACGGGTCTGATAAAGACAACTTTTAAGATTCTGCCCATCTGTTTCCCATGCCACTTGAATTACAAGTATTTTCCAGTCTCTGCTTTTTTTTTTTTTTTTTTTTTTTTTTTCCTGGCCCTTTTCCCCTTGAAATTTCCGCACAGGATTTTAGTAACTTAATAGGAAACTGCAGGGTCATTTGCTGTAGTATCAGCTTCAAGCATTAGCTTTGAGATTCCTCTGTTCATCTGATCTTTTAGTCTGTAGTGTCCGCTTTCTTCAGCATCTCTTTCACTTTTCAAATGTGTAATTTCTCTAGGCATACAGCAGTCTCTTCTGTCTCTTCTGCCTCTCTTCCCTGAAGACCCTATGTACTCTGAATTTACTAAGTGTTTGCTGTGTGTTGCTTACCTCAAGTAACTTGAATCACAGTAGTTCTGGGCATTGTCCTGTTTCTTCAGGTTCGGTCTTCCTATTCTTCCTTGTATCAGAAAGCGCCTGAGAACTGTTTCTCAATTCAAACTGATTTTTTTCCATAGTAATGTTGGGTACTAATGCTGTGGATTTGCTTTTATTGATTTTATTTTTCAGTTTCTTGATGCAAAGATTATAATTCCTCCTAATGACCAATCTTCAGATTTTAGTTTCATCTTGCAAGTATATTCCTGAATCTCAGATTCTCACAGCCATCATTGATAAGTTTCTTTGAGTAGTAGTGATTTTATATTGCCATGTTTCTGTGGGTTTTTTTTTTCCATTTTTTTTCCCTTGTGGGGCAGCAGTAGTGTCTTTGCAAGAACTGTCTCAGACATCAAACACAGGTCAGTGACATTTTGTCAAGTTGGATGATGCCTCATCAAATCTTCTGCTGAAAGCATCTCTTCCAGTTTCTTTGAGGTTGTAATCTATTTTGGAATTAGGCTCACCTAGCACAGAGAATAAGCTGTGTTTGGAATTTTGACTGGCATCTTTTGAGACACTTGTTAAGTATGTCTTTGTCTGTATTGCTCTGATCTCCCATCAGAGGATAGAAGTGTATGAGATAGAAATCTGGTGTAAGTTTGAATTGTTCCTTGTCATGATGAACAACAATTTCTCAGAATGCTCATCTTTGCTACAGCCTCAGGTACATGTGATGTTTGTTCTTTAAAGTATTTGTCATAACAGTCAGTCTGTTGTGGTCTTAAGCCCAAAGTCCTTCTTACTCATGGTTTGTAATAGCTCGATGTGAAATAATGCTCTCACATGCCAGCATTAAGCTCTAGGATGTTTCTCAGTGCTGGTATCATAGTTTCTGTGTCTGTTACAAGCTTTATTGCTAGAAGTTTCATCTAATACTGTGGCAGCTGTTTTTTCAGTTGAAGATCCTTGGTAATCAGGACATATTTTTGTAGCTAGTGAGTTCTATGAGGATAAATGACTGAATCACGCCTTAGCACATCCTATATCCTGGAGCACTGAGAGGTGGTAAGAGCAGTAGCTAATGAATTAAATGGGGTTGGAATAAACATTTGAATATTAGTTGGAAGAAATTTAAAGCAGTTCAGTTATTTTTAACAAACAACCAAAATTAAGGAATATCTTTGTTAATGAGGACCTGGTGATAGTGACTAGAAATTGTGGATTCTCAATCTCTGCAATCATTTTCAGCATTGAAAGTCATTCGTAATAGAAGAAGCTGACATGCATACAGTAGGCTGTCCATGTATCAAAACCTCCAGAGAAAGATTAGCAATTACACCAAGCAAGGTCCTGATTCAAGTACAAGTACAGGTGTTGAAACAACAGCTTAACAAGAGTAGTTCTTTCCTGTGTTTTCCAAGCAATAAGGTGAAGTAATGGTGGTTCCTTCTAGCTTCAAAATGTGGAAGTCAGGGAGAGGTAGATAGGTGGCTGTATAATTTGTGTTGTATGTTTCTATTTTTGTGACTCCAGCATTGTTCTTCTTGCTGAGGAATTATCATTTTGCCACTACTCTGTTACAGTGCTGTGCATAGTATTACCAGACGGCACTATCTCAGTTGCTATGAATTCTTTATCCACCAGCCAGTGCCAGCCTAGTAAGGTTCTTCTGTTTCTATTTGAAAACTGCTTTCTGTGTTAGGTTTGGTCAAATGAGTCATGCTAGCTTTTATTTAAATGGGCTTTATTTTTAACTAGTGGTGATGACATTGCAGATTGGAGGGGAAAATGGGAATGATTTTGAATAATATCAATTTATACAGTGAGAATACTTTATTAAAATATATATGAGCTTTATTTGCATCTTGAATTACAGTTTCTAGTTACTGTCTTTATTTTGCAGAGAGATAATACTAATTTTTTTTGTTGTATTTGTCAAGTACTGATAGATACAGCTCTTCTTTCCTTGTAGGAATCTGGGTAAAAATGGCTTATCTAACAGTAGTATTCTATTGGATAAATGCCCACCTCCACGACCACCGCCTCCACCATACCCTCCCTTGCCAAAGGACAAGCTGAATCCACCTACACCTAGTATTTATGTAAGTAAAGTAGAAGTAATTTGCTGACTGTGTCCTGTTAATTATTTGGGTATCTGAATTACATTATGCAATTATTTCAAAGACGCACTGTTCACAGCTGAATTCTAGTTACAATGTATGAAGAGGAAAAATGTTAGAATTGTGCAGTTGTGAATGAAGAAGAACAGCTTCAAAAAATTAGGTTTATTTATTATTTATAATACTGATGGAATAGGCAAAAATAGTTTGTATGTTATAATGTACAGCATTTTAGGTGTATTTGTACATTTTTTGCAAATGACAGTTTCAGTGATAAGTAAGCCAGTGATTAAACTGAACTTTCCTAACAGTCTATTTCAAAATATTGTAGGGAAAATTAATGAGAGCTGAGATGATGGTAACAACAAAATGTCATCAGTTAGGAAAATAAAAGTTTTATTAATAGAATAATTCAGTTGGAAGGGACCTGCAAAGATCATTGAATCTAACTGCTTTTTCGGTAGATTTTTTTTTTCTTATGCATCCATTGAAACTCCTGTTCCAAAAATAAACTTCTGTTTATTTGCATAAACTGCTTTATGCAATATTGTAGATAACTTTCTTAATAATGGAATTGTAAACTGTAGTATGTCCATTCAGCTAGTATAAAAACCTTAGGATAGCTTTGCTCAGCTGAACTTTAGGACCAGAAGCGCTTGGCAGGCTTGTGTGCTGCAATCCAAGCAGTCTGCCTAAGCACTAGAGTATGTTGGAAGCAATAGTGCTGCTCTTAGTGTTGAACCTGAGTTAATCTCCCTAATTAAGAGTCTGTTATAGCTTCATTGAGTATTTGCAAAGCTGATAAATCTCCATGTTGCAGCATTCTGGATGTGGATGTGCCAACATGGATCCCAGTATTTAGGAACTGTGTTGTTTTGTTTATTGAAAGAGATGTCTTCAGCATATATACAGTCTCTGTCTACAGTGTCATTGATACTTTGTTCACAGTCTGTCTGCAGGATTTTAAAAGATTCATAGCAATTAAAAATAAAAGCGAGGAGAAACTGCAGCATAAAATCGAGGTTGTAGATTTACAGAAGCATAGGAAAAAGAAATCAATTTTTCCAGTTAACATGAGATATACTCTGAGAGTGCACTTTTTAATTATACTGCTTCTTGTATACATTATCTGTAGGATTAGTTTTTTAAATTCTGAAAAGAATGTTAGTGTATTATCTTGCTCTTCAGAGAATTCTGCAGATTTAGAGAATTTACGGGGTTGCTGTCAGATAAAGAAATGAACTGCAGGAAACCTGAGTTGCAAAAGCCGAAGCAACCTGGGAATAATTCATGCCAAGAAATAAATTACAATAACGAATTAATTTCAGAAGGAGTAAGCCCAGCTAATAATGTGGAAACGGTTGTATGATGTTGCTATTCAATTCCCTCAGTGTGAAGAAATGAATGAAGTTCCTGTCTTCCTTCTGTTGTTTCACATTTTTTATTGTTCTTTCTTATTTTACAAACAAGAAGTGTAACCTCGTCTGATATCTAATATTGCATTGTAATTTTACAGTTGGAAAACAAACGAGATGCTTTCTTTCCACCTTTACATCAATTTTGTACAAATCCAAACAACCCTGTTACTGTAATACGTGGCCTTGCTGGAGCGCTTAAATTAGGTAACTTTAATTTGGTTACATTTTCTTTATAAAAATAGATATATTTTTAAATGATGTTTCTCAGTTCTTAAAAGTGGATATTTCATTTCTATAATACTGCGTTACTGTCCTGTTTAGATTAATTAAGAGAACATGTCACTTAGCTCACTACTATTTCTAACCTAGATCAACAGAATTTTTTTCCTGTGAAAACTATGCCTATGTGACTTTTTGCTTTGATTTAATGATGTCACTGTGAACATTCATAGAGCTCTAATTTCTGAAAAATATTTGTTAATTGAGTTACACATGCTTATGGATTTGTAGTTGGAATACGGTCTGTAAAATAGCTGTCAAGGTTTTTTTAGGCTTCTGCTGTTGTGTAGAAAAGACTTGAGCATTACCATAGCATTTCATGTATATATATATATATCTGTTATAGATCAATCAGATAATGTTAAGTATTAATATCATCTCTTCTAAATCTTCTTGTCGTATATTAACAGCCATTTGTGATTTTTTTTTACTTATTTATTAGATCTAGGACTCTTCTCTACTAAGACATTGGTAGAAGCAAATAATGAACATGTAGTAGAAGTGAGGACACAACTACTGCAGCCAGCAGATGAAAACTGGGACCCCACTGGAACAAAGAAAATCTGGCGTTGTGAAAGCAGTAGATCTCATACAACAATTGCTAAATATGCACAGTACCAGGCCTCCTCATTCCAGGAGTCTTTAAGGGTAAATATGTTGCTATTATGTAAATTAGAATTTTGTGGCCTGTGTACTAACTCTGTAATTAAGCTCTGTTAGTAACATCTCTTGAAAAAGAAGTCCAGATGTCGTTCAAGAAATGGAGACATTCCTACCAGCATGAAAAGCACAGATGAATTTACAGTCTATTTTAAACAGAGCGTTAAACACTACACAGGATGTTCTCTCATGTGCTTAACATAGACTTCATTTTCTTAATATAAAGCTACTTAGTGTTACGTATTTTAAAAGCTTGTTAGCTTTAAGCCTTCTTATAGTGATGTCAAAGTTAATATTGAAATATTAAAAATTTCAGATGATTTCAGATGTTTTTTTTGTTTTTTTTTTTAGTCATATTGCTTCAAATTTTAGGCACACTTTGAAATGACTTCATTCCTCATTGTAACCTGAATTAATTTGAATGTGACTTATTAGAAGTTCACGCTCATACTTTTAACACAACTGTTTAAAATATCATAGAAACTTTTTTTCAGAAAAGTAACTGATGCTTCCTGGACTAGTTACTGATGGGTTCCAAATTTAACATTTTAGGAGCTGTTAGACATATAGAACCCAGTAAGGTGTTCACAGTGTTGCAAACATTATATTTTATTGGTACTAAGTTTCAATATTTTTGTTAAGTAATGAACACATCTTTGGAATTAGATACAGGCACTCATATAAGGCTTATGTTACTGAGTGCTTTGGAAAGACTAGATTAAGGTGGAACAAAGACAAAGGGTATTATTGATCACTTGTTGATTAGAAAAAGGAGAAAAAGTGGGGAATTGGCTGTTGCAGTTTTCACTGCCATTACACAAAAAACCAATGATGATTTCATTAAGAGAAGGAAGAGAAATTCCTGGAAGGGATTAGAAGCAAAGAAATTTATCTGTGGTCGGAAAAAGGAAAAGGGAGAGTGGTTAAATATTCTAAGCAGGATTGATACAAGATGAGGAAAAGACACAGGAATACCATGCGGGAAGCAGGGAGCACTGGGCAGAATAGTGTGTGGCTTGGCCTAACCAGTCATGAATGGGATTTTTCTAAAAAAATTGCACCAGTGTTGTGTTCTTGAGCATCGTTCTGGAGGAGAAAATTATGTTTAAATAAAATTACAGAAAAGCTAACTTTTAATAAAGTATATGATTGTTTACATATACTCTTGTCAGCCGGAAAGCCTCAGCTTTGTTTTTGCATCAGGAAGCAACTGCAGTATTTTCTGGGTTTTTTTTTCTGCTACAAAGTGGTGGTAAAAATGTAGTACATAACATAATTTTCATAATGTCAATTTTCATTTTTCCCTCAAAAATCAAAATTGCATTGTTTTAAGTGTATGTATTCCTTTTTCCTAACACTGCTGTGACCTGTCCTTAAATGCTTTCTGCAGTCATCTTTTCAAATGAAAGCTGAGTTTCTCCTTTATACAGATACAGTTCTCTTGGCTTGCCTTAAGTGACCTTTTTTTCCCCCCTCTAACAACTATAACACTGCTTTTCTAACATGCTTTACGGTATTTCATAAAACTATCATTGCTCAGTCCTTTTTTGTATCTCTTTGTCCTTCGTTCAAAGGATGAATAGGACTTTCTCAGGTACATAGGGCACTTTGATGTCTAACAACTGTCTCATTCAAAGCAGAAAGTCTTTGGACAGCATCCAGGCAGTTCTTTCCTGCTTTTTGTCTTACTTTCTCCTTCTGTGTCTATATATTTGTGCAAAAGGAAGTTTTTAAAACGGGACTCGGAGCCCACTGTGCTAAAAAGATGAAATTACATCACTTAATGCTGGTTAGACTTTTTCCACTAGTCATGGTCCTAGCTACTGCAGTGCTAAAATAGCAGATGGCTATTAAAAATTCAAAGAACTTTGTATAATGGATATTATAAAATGAATTTTATAAATATTAGCCTATTTTCACATCAGGAGACCTGTTTAACTTTGAAGGCAGATAAATGTTCTGGTCTAAAATACTTAGATTGGATTTCTTTTTACCTGCATAATGAAGCAAGCCCAGCACATAAATTTGTAACTCTAATATAGGTTAGCTAAAGAGTTTACAGCGTGGAAGTTTCCTGTTGTCCTGGCCTGAACCTCACTGAATTTTTATCACAAAGACATTTTTGCAACAGCTATTGACTAATAACTGTTTTTTATTTGTTTGTTTATTTTCTTTACGGCAGCGTCCACATGAGATCCTGGATGCAGATATTTTAAATGTTGTACCACCATTTTGAAACAAATGTTATCACTTCATATCTCTGTGTGCCTATATTTTTATGCATATGCTTTTTAATATTTAAATAATTTAGATGTCATTGTTTAAATAAATGATTGCATTTTCACAATTGCATTTTATAGGAGGAAAATGAAAAAAAGAGTCACCACAAGGACCACTCAGATAATGAATCCACATCTTCAGATAAGTAAGTGTGGTATAAGTGTGGTAATTTTACGGTTATATTTGTGTGTATTTTTACACTATTCCTATTTTCACATTCACCTACTACTTCTTTTTTATTTACAGTTCTGGGAGGAGGAGAAGAGGACCTTTTAAAACAATCAAGTTTGGGACCAACATTGACCTGTCAGATGACAAAAAGTAAGTTTGACTGCAGTTTCTTTTGCTCACAGTGCTGTTCTGCACTGTTGTGCTTCTTCTGGAAAGCTAATGCATTCTTCTCGGAAGTCAGTTATTTCCAGATAAACCCAATTCCAGTTGCAAGCTCTATTGCTGTGTTACCTTAAATCTGCTGTTAAATTGTTATAAATCCCTCTCACCTTAAAATCTGTTTTTGAGTTTGTCTTTCCAGTATCTTTAATTTTTCAGTAATGAACTTCTAAATTCCATCAGTCACTTTTCTTTCCAGTAATATTTCTAATATATTCCATTTGTTTCATGCCGATGCTTTAAATTGTTTTCCCTTTTTTCCCCCCTCTTTTATACCTACTCTCATTTATTTTCTTTCCATTTTCTCTTAACTCTTGCTTCTCTACTCAGAAGCAGTGCTCAGAATATGTAGCAAAGTCTGAATTGATGAATATGAGTGGAAAAGCCATGATAAAATTAGAAGTGTAAGGGGAATACAGAGTATTCTTCAGATGAGAGATTTCTGTGAGACCAAGAAATAGAGTAAAATGGCTCAGAAAAACTTCACAAAGTTTCAGAAATACACTGAAAGCATTCTTTTTTGTTTTCATCCAGTAATAATTTTTTATTTGGTTCAGTCTCTGCTTGGATCTTTTTTGGAAATGCATACTATTACTGTTCCACCCGCTGCAGTAGAAAAATTCTGATCCACTTCAGTTAGGAGAAGGAGAAAAGGTTATGGTATGGGAAACTGGAGGATGCTAATGAATTTTTTGCAGCATATTCTGTGTGTATATATACGTGATTAAAGATTGTTGTAAAAGTTAAAATAAGATCATATATTTTTCTAAATTGCTACCAATAAACTAACCCTTAGAGCAATCCTTTTGGAGAGACTTTAACCCTAACCTAGGAATGACTAACAAGAGGTTCATAGAAATTGTATTTTGATACTTCAGATAAATCTCGTAGAATTACAAATACATCCCACATCTGATTTTCTGTCTCAAGTTCTGATACAAGACAGTTTTTCCCCTGAACTGGCTTGTCATACTTAGGATTGTAGTTGGAAATGTTTTCAAATTGAAGTTGTAGCACAAATACCTGTGTGACATTACAAAGCCCCACATAAGTTTGGAGAATTTGTATTTAGAGATGTTATCACTAATAAAAGCATTCAGTTCCATGGCATGTGCATACAGCTTATTTCACTTCTGGTTATAGCGATCATGTTTGAGAGTTAAACTATGTTCAGACAGTCTTCCTAGCAAATGTCATGACATAATATCATTTAGCTCTTGAAAGCATCTTTAACAGTTTCTGACTGGTTTAAGAGTGTGGGGAAAGCAGACCTTCATGTTTACAGAAAAGATATATGATATACACCAAGGTGTAAACTAAAAGCATAGTTTTCTTGTGAGATAGCACCAGATTGAATAACTGCAAGATTGAGTTGGGTCACCAGGTCTTCTAGTTCACAGTTAAAAATTGACATTTAAATTTCTGTAGCTGCCAAGTAAGGTTATTGCATTCTATAAACTTCCCTTTTAAAAGATGCTAAATTATACAGCAGTGACTCGTCTGCTCCTTCATCTCCTACGATAACAATTTTCTGAAAATGTTTGTATTTCCCAAACTCTTCTAAGAGTTTCAGGGATTCACAGTTTGTCAATTTACTATTTTGCTGCAGGTGGAAGTTGCAACTCCATGAACTGACAAAACTTCCTGCTTTTGTACGTGTGGTATCAGCAGGAAATCTTCTAAGCCATGTTGGTCATACCATCCTGGGCATGAACACAGTGCAGTTGTATATGAAGGTTCCAGGAAGCAGAACACCAGGTGAGTATAATTTTTGCATGGAAAAAAACCAAAAAAGGAATCTCCTGCTATTGAATTAATTTATCTGCTCTGCAGATTTTCTGTATTTTATAGCAGGCATAAATATGATAATGGAGTACATATTCATTATTTTTTACTTGACTAACTGAATCTGCATGTACAAAGCACTGAATTATCTTTTAGGGGAAATTTCTGAATTTCTGCAATGCTTGATGGTTGTCATTCTAATTTCTTGCATGTAACACTGGATTCCAGATTTTTTAAGGGGAAAAGAATAAGTTCATATACTTAAACCATGTTTGTAATTTGCGTGCCTTGAAAGTTTTTACAGACTTCCCAAGTAGGTCTTGTATAATCATAGAAGTCACTACAGTTTTAAAGTTGTTCACATCTGTCTGAGAATACGGTTTCATAATGGGTAGTGCTGTGCTCTGACACTGTTGTGGGTTAACTCTGCTAGGCAACTAAGTGCTGCACAGTGTCTCACTCGCTCCCTTCTGAGTTGGATGTGGAAGAGAATCAGAAAGTTAAAAGTGCAATAACTCTTGGGTTGAGATAAAGACATCATAATATGTTAAGCAAAAGCTGTGCATGCAAGTCAAGCAAAATAAGGAATTCATTCACTGCTTCCTATTGGCATGCAGATGTTTAGTCAAAATAAACTCCATCCCAGCCAAACCCAGTGCAGGCACTGGACTGAGGCTTGGGAGATCACAGAATGGTGGAATGGCTTAGTTTGGAAGGGATTTTAAAGATCTAATTCCAACCGTCCTGCCATGAGCAGGGTTACCACCCTCTAGAACAGTCTGCCCAGGGTTCCATCCAGCCTGGCCTTGAACACCTCCAGGGATGGGACATCCACAGCTTCTCCGTGCAACCTATTCTAGTTTCTCACTATTTCCTGAGTAAAGAATTTCCTCCTAATATCTAATCTGAATCTTCCCTGTTTTATTTCAAAATCCTTCTCCCTTGTCTTATCACTATCGGACCATGCAAAAAGTCTCCCTCCTGTTTATAAACTCCCTTTAAGTAATGGAAAGTTACAGTGAGGTCTTCCTGGAGACTTCCCCATGCTCCCTCCTGGGAGAGGTGCTCCAGCCCTCTCTCTGATCATCCTTGTTGGATCCTTCAGACTTGTTCCAACAGCTGCAACATCTTTCTTGTGCTGAGGACCCCAGGCTTGGGCATGGTACTTTCAGTTGTAGCCTCACAAGGGCAGAGCAGAGAGGGACAATTGCCTCCCTTGCCCTGCTGGCCACTCCTCTTTTGGTGCAGCCCAGGATACTGTTGGTCTTCCAGACTGGAAACTACTGGCTCACATCTGGCTATTCATCCACCAAGATCCACAGGTCTTTCTCAGCAAGACTGCTCTCATTTAGTTCTGCCAGTCTGTACACATATTTGAAATTGTCCCAACATAACTGCAGCACCTTGTATTTTTTCTTGTTGAACCTCATTCAGTTCACATGGGCCCACCTCTTAAGCTTATCCAGGCCCTGTTGGATGGCATCCATTCCTTTTGTTGTGTCATCTGCACCACTCAGCTTGGTATCATCTGCAAACTTGCTGAGGGTGCACTCAGTCTCACCATATGGATCATTGATAAAGATAGTAAAGAACATTAATACCAATATGGACTCCTGGTGGATACCACTCGTCTCCAGCCTCCACTTGAACATAGAACTGTTTACCAGAGCCCCCTGCTGTGACCATCTAGTCAATTATTTATCTACTGAATATTCCAGCCTTCAAATCCACGTTTTTCAGATGTACAGATAAGGATGTGGTGTGGGACCATATCAAAGGCTTTGCAGAATTCCAGGTAAACATCATCTGTTGCCCTTCCTTTGTCCACTAGTGCTGTCACTCCATCATAGTAGGTCATCAGATTGGTCAGCCTACCCTTGGTGAAGCTGGCTGTGTTTTCTCTTGCATGTGCTTTAGCATAACTTCCAGGAGGATCTACTCCAGTATCTTCCCAGCACAGAAGTGAGGTTCACTGGCTAGTAGTTTCCTGGATCTTTCTTCCTGCCCTTTTAAAATATGGGAGTGAAGTTTCCCTTTTTTAAATCACTGGGGATTTCACCTGATAGCTGTGATGGAGAGTGACTTAGCAACAACATCAGCCAGTTCCTTCGGTACACTGCCATGCATGTCAGTCAGACCCTGGAGACATGTACACATGCAGTTTTATTACAGTCTTGAACTTCTTGCTTCCCATGGGAGTGGTTTTGCTCCCTCAGCCTGCACCTAGAGGTACAGCAATGTGAGAGATGTGGGAAGGTTGACTGCCAGCAAAGGCCGAGGCAGAGAACTGGAGTACCTCAGCCTTCTCCATTTCTGTTGTTGCTCGTCCTCTGGACTAAGTTCTGTTAGTGCTGAAGTACAACTGCAGATAATACTGTTAAGGATTGTGGTTCAGCTCTTCAGCTGTCAAAAGAAGGTAAAATCTGGCATTTCTACATTGATTTTTGAAAGTTCCTTGGGACAGATTTTCTTACTACTTGTTTGTTAGTGCCTGAAGTCATGAAGTTTTTCTGCTAAATGGGATTGTCAGAAGCTATCACAAACACATTATGTAAGCTTTAGCATCTTGAAGCATTGATTTCTACAGAAAGGAAGCAGCTGAAATATTAGTCAGATTCATTAGTCAGATTGGTAGTTCCAACTTCTTATTTTTCACAAACTAGCAAAAGCAGAATTCTGTTGTTATTATAACTTAATTGCATTTCTTGACATTGTGAAGTACCTAAATACTGCATATAATGTTTATGAAAACTGAACGTATAATGTAGAGTTGTTTTTTTTTTTTTTAGTAATTGTAACCTACTTTGCATTTTCTTGGTTATTTTGATAAATAAGCCTTACAGAAAATGTGTTTATTTTTTCTAAATTTCAGGTCATCAAGAAAACAACAACTTTTGTTCAGTAAATATAAATATTGGTCCAGGTGACTGTGAATGGTTTGTTGTTCCTGAAAGCTATTGGGGTGTCATGAATGACTTTTGTGAAAAGTAAGTTGTGCATACTGTTCCCTATTTTTTTCAAGTTGCATTTGTCTTTCTCAGACCTAATGGGAGAAGGGGAAATATTCATTGAGGGTGTTACTTATAAATGAATTTTTAAAGGGTTTTCCACGTAGTCTGAAAAATCTTTTATAACAAGTCAAAATGTAAAATCTGGAATGTTCGCAAGGTATAGCATTTGTGCAGTGTGCAGGAGCCTTAGGTGCTCAGTGATAGCTTTGCTCCCAAAACTTTACATTACTGGATAATCCATCTCTGTCCTTTTTGTTTGGCTAGCTTCTTTATCAAGCACATGAAAGCTACCATCTACTCTTACCAAATGGTGATGCTTTTATGATTACTTTTAGGACTGTTGCAGTTGGGTGATGGAAAAATTGGGGGGTGAGGGAGTTGGGTTTTTGTTTTGGTAGGTCTTTTTTGTTTGGTTGGTTTATTTTTTTAGGAGTGATGAAGTATTTTTCTGGTATTGTATGTTATTAATTTTATTATGATTAATGTATGTGTCATACATATGGGATTACACAGCCACTGGTGTTTTGGCATTTTTCCTTGCTGCATCTAATGGGAGAGCTTAGTTTACCTGAACTCCAGGAGGTTTTGTGGCACAGTTTGCATATACTTGCAAGTCTGTAGCTTATTTAAAAATGAGGTGTGTTGACTGTTGGGTAATGGTGGTCCACCTCTATGTGTGTTCCTTCTTCTCTTGCATGTGTGCTTAAAAAAAAAAGTCAGTTAGGAGCAGTTGAGTCCCATCTCGTTTGATCTTAAGGGAGGTTGTTTTTTTTTTTTAACATTGCCCATTTAAAAACTGACCTAAACTCCTCAGCTTTCTTCAGAACTTTCTCGGGGTTCTGCATATTCTTCTCAGTACCTATTTGCTGCTTGTCTATTGACAACTGCTCTATTTAATCAACCTAATCAACCTTTACAAAGATCCTCAGAATTATAATTCCGCTGTCAAAAATGCAATGTCTATAATGATGATAGGCCTATTACCCTCATGCCACTGCCCTTTCTGAGACTAAAAGGGAGTCTAAAAGTTTGGTAACCTCATAAACTCTCCTGTATGCCTGATAGAGGCACTGAATGGTCTTTGAAAACTTGCCAGTGATCTTCCATGATGCAATAGAAAATCACTCTAAAATTGGGATGAGGAAGGGAGAAATGTATGTATTTCACAGTACCATATTGGAAGACTCAAGATTTCATTGTTAGGAAGTCCATATGGAGGCTTTTTTTTTAATGCTTCTCAGGAGGGGTAGCATCTTCTGTCTGAACATAGCATAGACTTGTGAATAGCAGTTGAGATGGTGCCAACAAGTTCTTGTGCGGACGAGTTTTGCACGCTCACACTGACAGCATGAGTACATGTTTTGCATTGTTCTAAACAGAAAGCATTCTTAAGAACTGTGTATAAAATCAGTCACAGGTTAAAAAAAGCATCATTCTGCACCAGTGTCACGCTAGATCTAGCAAGAATTCCTCTACCTCAGCATTAATAATGCTGGGAAATTGAAAGGAAAATAGAACTTAACTCTAAGCCATCATCTCACTTCGCATAAGCAGATGGTAGAACATTTTAATGTTGCAGGATATAAAACAGGGAACTGGGATCAGGATTTCTGTAGGTGAAACTTTCCTTCTGACTAGTCCTACTGCATCAGGGATTAGATTAAACATTGAAAATGTATACAGTGGTGATCACTTTTTACAGGTAATGTCATTGAAGTATTGGCTACTAATACATCTGCTGATAAATGCTGACAGCTTTATTTTTCCCATTTTTTCAGAAACAATATGAATTTCCTAATGGGATCTTGGTGGCCAAACTTGGAGGATTTGTATGAAGCCAATGTCCCAGTTTATCGATTTATTCAAAGACCAGGGGATTTGGTGTGGATAAATGCTGGCACTGTTCACTGGGTTCAGGCTATCGGCTGGTGCAACAACATTGCTTGGAATGTTGGCCCTCTTACAGGTATAGTTGAGTAATGCATTGTAAGGTAATTCTATGCCATAGAACCTGCCATTTCTTAATAGTTTATTTTAGTTTTCTGGATTAAAAAATGAATGTACAGTATTTTAAAACATTATTTGTTGAAGCATTAAATAATCCCATTGGTAATAGGAAATGAAAGCAGCAAGAATGCTGTCTTTATATTCCTGCATTTGATGGACTTCCAAAACTTAGAGTAGTTTATCAAACACAAGCAGAATAAAATGTTGAGAGGAATTCATGCACTGTGTTTTGTAGGCTGCTTTTTTAACTTTCTCTTCCAAAACTTGTTCTACCCAACAGACTTTACTACAGCATGCATATGAAGAATTGCCTGATCTCCCCTTTTCAGGTTAAAAGATACTTAATAGCTCCTTAATGAAAGCATCAGAAAATGCAAACAGTTGTAAATTTTTTTAAACAAAGGAATGTAAGGTTTACTCCTCTGGAAGCCATTATTTTTGAACCATGATTTAAGAAGATTTTTAGATGTGAGAATGGAAGAAAAGTTCACAGCTAAAATAAGGAGATTCTATCAAGCATTTGAGCAGATTGTACTTCCAAAAAAAACCTGTTTTCTTAAATAGTTTAAGGTGTATCTTTATTTCATTATGGTGCAATAAATAGTTTATCTCCATGATTATGTGACTGACTGATACAGAGCTTACGTGTTCAATCACAGTAAATTTTGCAAAACAAGTTTTTGAAAAGGGTGGGGTGAGTAGGCTGCTTAATCAGAAAGTCTGACTCACTGCACAAATCTCTCAAGGTGCAGTCTTCATTTTCAAATTACATACTGTAGCATTGTAAAATGATAAAGAATATACAGACATCGCAAATGTCTGCAAGATACAGACATCTCAAATGTAGATTTTTTGTGTCAAAAGCTTGAAAATTATTAAGTAACACTTTCTGAAAATGTGTACTCTGTTTAGCATAGAAATTGAGCAGTTGTCAGCAAGTCCTTGTTTTCACATGTGGTTGTTACTGCTGTGATACTTTGTGTTCTTTTAGCATCTGCAATACAATAAGTATGTGCTTAAAAATAAATTTTGTAGAATTTAAATGTTGCAGGGAATGAGTTATTCAGAAATACTGTTTAGTCTCACCATAAAAAAGTCTAAATTTTTGGTATAATGAAGTTATTTTGAGTTCAAATGGTACTTATTTGTTACCTAACTACTTCTGTAACTTTCTTTTTATATAGCCTGTCAATACAAATTGGCAGTGGAACGGTACGAATGGAATAAACTGCAGAGCGTGAAGTCCATAGTACCCATGGTTCATCTTTCATGGAATATGGCTCGAAATATCAAGGTCTCAGATCCAAAGCTTTTTGAAATGATTAAGTAAGTTTTACTTGAGCATTTATTGTTTCCATTTCTTCTTCAAGCATAAAACGGGTAGATCTATAAATAGGCCTTTGTAAGTCTTCTGAGAATCAAGCCAAAATGATTTGATAATCTGTTCTTCAAAGAAAGAAGCCATTTGTGGATATTAAATATGCCACAGACTCCAGCAGTCTACAGAAGCAAACAACTTACATAACTAAACCTGTTCAGAGTATATACCATAAGACATAACAAATTGAGGTCATCAACTGAAGTACTACATTTATAATGATAGTCATTTTTACAGCAAAATTTAAATTAATTTTGCATTTTTAGAACATCTCTTTAGTTAAGGCTCACACACCATCATTTGGCAATCCAATGTAAACGTTTTAAATAAAGACAAATAAGAACTGGAAAGTCACCTTCCCTTTGCTCTTCTGAATAAAGAATTAATTGACGTGTAAGATGATAATTGAGTATAATGACATTTCTTAAACACTTATTCCAAAATGCAGAAACATTTGAGACTCAAAGCATCTTTAGTAATGTTTTTTTAAAGAGTGCATCTTGAAGCAAATATAAATCATTATATCTAGGTTGAGGAATAAATGGACATTTTGGCATACATCCATCATAGGCTTGTCAGAAAGAAAGTGGGAGAATGAGTTCCACAGCAAATGACTCATCATGAGAATACTCTGGTGGCAGCTCTCTGTTTTTCTTCAGCCAACCAAAAGAGCTTTTATCTTAGTCTTTTCAACATACTGGATCCAGAAGCATTGAATCCTTTTATGATTTGCCTTGAAATGGGCCTTGAAATATGGATAGGTTAACCTGCAAAAAAGGAACAAAGAAAATCAGTTTTTCCCCTAGTAGAATTTACTGTTGACATCTGAGTGAGATACCAGTTTGCAAATAGGAATTTGAGTTTAACTTAGCCTTGAACACCTGTTGCAGAATGAGGGGATAAGTGAGATGGTAACTTTGTAAAGGCACAGAAGTGTTAGAAGTTGAAAATAGTTCTGTCCCTTCAATTAAGCTGTTAGTGATCATAGTCAAGGTGGCAAGTGTTAAAAAGGAATAAAAGAAACTGATAGTGTACTGCTGAAAATAAGAAAGGAGGGGAAAAGAAGCAGAGGTTGAGAGGAAGCCAAGAAGTCCTTTAAGAAAAAAAAAAAAAAGCTAAGCCCTTATTTCATATGTATATTTATCTTCTCTAGTCCAGCAGGCACTGTAAATCTCAGAACAGCTCTAGAATATTTTTTGCAAAATATGATTTTAATAATTTGGGACCCCTATTTTGCATTTGTGCAAAGTTGAGTCATTTTTTGTCTATGGCTTAGGTTTAGGAGAAAAATGACTGAGCTTAGCATTTTTCTCCAGGAGAAATCTTAAAATGTTGCAGAGGAATACAGAGAACAGAATGGTTTCCTGTTGTCATCCAGTTTGGTAGCAGCTGGGTTTTTTTGTAATGAGATACCTAAATTGTTAGATGTACTTCAGAAATAAAGTCACTGAGGAGCTGATGTAGACTTTGATCTTGCATACTATTGCATTTTCCAGGCTACTGAAGCCACCTCTGTCTTGTTAGTTGTCTGTCAGTCCCCTGGTTTCATGCTTTGCATGAGAAGAAGACCCAGTGATGATCTCCAGTTTGTTACATATAGTAACAGTAATCTGGAACAATTCTTCTTCTGATCCCTTCTGTAGTTGTACAGCTGTAACTAGAAGCAGCTGTCATCAGAATACTCTGTTTACTATATGGCTTTAGCCTTGTGTAGATATTTTAAGTGCATAAACCTTCATGAACCTCCTTACAGTCAGTGAGCAGTTGCATAATTTTCCTCTCAAACTGATTATCTGAAGGAGTGCTGTCTTGCTCTAGATAAAAGGAACAAAGTCTAAAACTTTCTCATGAGATTGTTTTTTAAATTTTATACTAAGAGTAGAATCTTGACTGGAAATGCAGGTAGACAGAATGATTTAAAGTTTGACTGACAGCACAATGCTCGAGAAAAGAAAAATTAACATAAGAACTTAAATGAGAAATCAGAAGGCTTTTACAGATGTATCTCTGGAAAAGAAGAATTTTAGAGGTAGTGGGAACATAGTAAAAAGGCCAAAATAATTAATTCCAAAGTAACAGGAATTGTAAGTTCTTTTACCAAAATAGTTTTATAAGCGTAGAAGAGCAGGACAGGAGAGAAATGATTTTGCACAAAATCATGAAGCAAGATAGAGTACATTTTGATATCGATGGGGAAAATAAATCACTCAGAAATATAATGAGATCAGTTTTGCATTGCCATTGGGATGGTCTCCGCACTTACAAAGCTTTACTGGATATCTAAACATTAAATGGATTTCTCACTACACTTAGAGAATATATCAGAGTGACATCCGTTTTAAGATCTTCTCTTAAACATCAGGATTTGACTGGACATGATTTACTCATGCTTTGTCATACCTATTAAAACCTCAAGAGAAAGTGATGGTCCAGATTTTTTAACTGAATTCCCACTGTGCAAGAATAAAAACAGGCATACAGTTCTAAAAGCCTACTCAGCTTAAACACTGTGTCTCTACTACACACCATTTTGGCTTTCATGTTTTAGAAAATTTTGATATGCATTTTCAAGGTGATACTTTATGTGCTTTCTCTCTTGCTTTGATAGCATGAAATAGTTAACAGTGCCATTACTCAGATCTAAATTTTGTCTAAGGACAAGTAGTTCACCTTTTAGCTACTGTTTTTGGCTTTGCTTGCAAATTTGGCAAACATTGCGGTGGTGTTGCATGCGGATTACACTTTGAGCAGTTCTTTCTTCACAGCAGTAACACTTGGAAGTGCTTTGAAAATAATACTTTGAAAACTCTTTGGAAGTGAGGAATGGAGCACAGTGGTTGCAAGTGGGTAGATGGGCTTCTAGCTGTTATCTGAGATACCCAAAGACTTTTCCAGATGCCGGCAGAAGAGAACATTACAGTGATAGCTTTTAAGTTTATTTTGAATCAGATTAGATTGCACAAAAGAATGCTATACCAAAGTTAATGAACTTGTCATAAGCATTTCTACATTAGCTTAACATTCGAGTGAATTAATGTGTGATCTACCACATATGGTTGATTGTATGTGATATCATGAGACATCATGAGTTCCATTAACATCAAACTAGAAAAGTGCGAAGGAGTTGCAGCTAACTGAGCTGTTTGGTTTCATTGAAAATGTGTATATGAAAATACGTTTAATCTAAAAGCGAGCTTTCAGTTTTGCATTATTATTATGAGGGATTTAATGACACTGTAGACTTGTTTTTAGTGAAAATGAATGATCTGAGTGTAAAAAATCAGGAGGACAGTATTGCAATTTAAGCCTGAAATTCTATTAACTGCTTGGTAACACATGAAACAAATATCTAAGAAAAGTAGAGAGCATATATATGACATTTTTAAGGTTTTAAAATGGGAGAAAGGTCAAATTGAAAATATTTTGACAGAACTCTTGAGTACTTTGTTTTCTCTCCAGAGTTTATTCTTCCTCTTACATTTTTCAGTCTTCATTCTGCGTCTAATAAACATGTAATGTAACCACCCTGTGGAGGAGAAAATTAAAGGCTGCACAGACAGTGGCTCAAATAAATAAGATAGCTAAGAACTAAAAATAATTGTAAATAACATTGTAACTTAGAAATCTGGTGACCTATTTTGCCTGCTGCTTTTTTTAAAGAGAATGTATCCATCTCATACAGTGCTAGGAAAGAAGTCACCATTTTTTAGTAAAGAAAAAGACTATGTAGGGTTGTGAAGATTAAAAGTTTGTTGTTGTTTTTTTTTTTAACGTTGGCAGAAGCATGACAGGGAATCATTGATTTTAAATTGTCCAATTCTTTTCTTCATAAAATGTGTTAAAAATTGTGTCCTTTTTTTTTCCTGTTAAGGGACTTACTTTCATTACATTACAGGAATGTACAGAAATGAAATAAATGTACACAATGATGTGATCTAACTCGTACATAAGTCATGCTTCCAGTGATTCTTACTAGACAAGTGTTTCTGAAGTCCTAGAGGAAGAAGCTCCAGCTCCAGGGTCTTGAATGAAATTCAGGCTGTTTGCATCTTTCTAGACAGTGTAATACTGAATTGAATATAGAGCTGATTGCCACTGCAGTCTTCTGATCCTGATTTTGGTTGCAGGTATTGCTTGTTAAGAACTCTCAAACAGTGTCAGACACTGAGGGAAGCTCTGATTGCTGCAGGAAAAGAGATTGTCTGGCATGGGCGAGCAAAGGATGAGCCAGCTCATTACTGTAGCATTTGTGAGGTCAGTAAATAAATATATGTTGGGTTTGGGTACTACTGTGATGTTTGTTGAAATTTTGACATATCTTTTGTTGCTGCTATAAACTGCAGCATCTACAGCATCTGCTGCTTTAAGCACACGTATGTGATACAGTGCTGTCTTCAAAGAGCTCATCAAGCTATTTTTTAAATACAGGCTGTATTACACTGTTGCTTTTTCTCCAGTACATAGAAATTGTTATTCACGAGGTCAATTTTCCATTCTCAGTTGTTCTAAGAAGCTGTTACCCCTTCCTGCATATAATTTGATCTGCTCAGCTTCCTTCTCAAGGTATATCTGTCTTCATTCCAGTAATCAACAACAGCCCCAAAAGAGGGAGAATGTGAGTGCATTTTCTTCACAGAAAATGCTTTACTGAAGTTTTTGATCTTACTTTCTATTACTAGCTCCTTTAAGGTATTGAATAATAGTCTTTGTGAAGCATAAAATAAAGTATTTCCCACCTGAAAATCAGTTAAAAATTATTTTCAGATCAAGCCTCTTGGGCAGGATGAATGTGCGACTCAGTTAGCAAGGGAATAAATTATGACTTTCTTTTTACAGGTAAATTTGAAAAAGAGGAATTAAGTATAACTGTAATACATACTGACCTTACTGAGTGACCCCTATCCAGAGTATGAATCCTGCCTTGTTAACACTAACCAAAAGCTTTTCCACAGAGCCATTCACACAGGCACCCTAAGTGTAATGTTTAGTAGTGGTTTTATTATATTTCACCTTAGTTCCTAAGCCTTAAGGAGGATGGATTTTCCCTAAACAAATCTATTTTTTCTCTTTGTATTCTCAGGATAAGACTGTAAATCTTAAACCTTGAAGGCTGTATTTTTTTTAACTTTTTACAAATGAAATTGTAACAATTGACTTTCTGTTTCCTATCTAACAGGTGGAAGTCTTTGATCTGCTTTTTGTCACTAGTGAGAGCAATTCTCGAAAGACCTATGTTGTACATTGCCAAGACTGTGCACGAAAGATAAGCACGAACCTGGAAAATTTTGTGGTGCTAGAACAGTACAAAATGGAGGACTTGATGCAAGTCTATGATCAATTTACATTAGTAAGTCAAATTAATAAGTGGATGCATAAATACATTATTTGTAAAGCAGTTGTAGGCTGTCTTGGTACTCCATTGTATGAGTACTGTGAACTTTCTGATTCAAATGGAGGTTTGGGTTGTGTGTGATATTTACAGAACAAAACTCTGCAGAGTCAGAATTATGTGAAATAGTACAGTAACTTACTGCAGAACATAACCACTGAGTTTTCAGGAAAAGTATGATGTTACAATTCATAAAGTTGTGGCTTTAAAAATCCAATAGAGATCACCTGGAGACCATAACTGGATCAGATGGAGATGGGAAGAATCAGGACAGTGAAGCTTGGAGAAACTAGCACCAGGTTCAAGAGCATCTCTAATACATTGGTTGTGGTATGAAGTCAGTATAGCAGCAGAGCATCCTATGCACTGAGACCCCTTCCTCCCCCTCCCCTTCCCACCCTCTTCCAAATCAGCACTGTCCTTCTGCTTAGCAAGTGGATGCTCTCAAACAGTTCTGTCTTTGGCTTGGGGCCTCCTTTGCATTTCAATTTAAAGCAAAAAGCCACTTTGCCATTATAGCTTTGTGCTATATATGGCAGCCTCCTGCTTTGAACTGTGTCAGCACAACTGTCCTAACATTTCACCCAGGTTTCGTTGTTTCAGGCAAAGATGGCTTGTTTGTAATCACAATGAAAGCGATGCTGGATTTATTTATGATAAGCCTTGCCTTTCTGTCAAAGGAGACAAACATTGGACAAAGCGTTCTGAGAATTTCACATTGCATTAAATACAGCAGCCCAGAAACAGCTGTGCCTTTTTGATTCATTTCCAGGTGCTGCAGAAAGTGTATGTTTAGACAATTATTTCAAGTTATACAGGCATGATAAGTTGCGACCTTTGAGCTAATGCCTCAAGGTTCACCAGCTGAGGCTGGTGAGAACACAGGACCCTGTCCTCTGAACTTTATTCTTTTCATTGGTTCAGCAAAGCCTGAGATGGCTGAACTTGTGTTCACTCTTTTAGAAGCCCATTGTCATCACAGCTGGTAAAATACTGCAATTCTGAAGTGATAATATGTTGCATAAACAGCATCTAAATAAACACCTATTCTCAGATACACCATCCAAGTGGAATGGGCAAGAATATTTTTGAATGGAAAAGAGGGAGGAATGAGGGAGAGTGGGAGGGGCATGTTTTCGTCTGTGTTTGTATCATTATATAGGTAACTGTGATAGTGCAACTGTGCCTAGAACAAGGGTTCTCAACCTGTAAACAGCTCTTTGCCCCACCAGAGCCTACACCTGCAGTGCTAAAGAACATTAAAAATTGTTGTGTAGTGAAATTTATGCACAGTATCACTTTTTAAAAAGGCTTGTAGTTTTGATTGAGTCATTTTGAAGAGTCGTAACCTATAGGAGAGGGGTTGAGCTTTGTGGCACATCACAGAACAAAGATAACCTCAGATGGCAAAGGTGGTGTAGGACTAACAGGCTCGATGTTTGGGGTAAAGTATCAGGAGTAAATACAGGAATTACATAGAATTAGTATTGCACAGTTAAGTCCTGTAGTGTGATTTGCAGTGTCTTTAAAGACGGGGCAGCTTCTTGAAGGGATTCCTCATCATGGCAGGACTGATGTGTAGGAAAAGAGAAGAGATGCCATCAGAAATTCAGTATTTTTGGTGATAATGCCACAAAGAACAATATTAGGGATAGGTATCTTCTAGACCTTCACTCTAAGGCACTAATTAACGACGATTGAAAATAAATGAATAAATAAATAAATAAAAGCTCTGTCCCCGTATCAGAGAATCTTGATCCTTTCCACAGATAACCTGAGGGTTATATGTTAATGTTTATGTAGCGAGGAAGTAAAATGCAACCTGCAAGGTATTTGGAGAGCCACAAAGGGATGACCCACCCATTCCCCTGGCTAAACAGGTTGAGAATCCCTGTTTTAGAGAATATAAAGATACATCTACATGAGCCCACATGGAGCTCTTTTTTTGCCTCAACACTTGTTTTTGGCAGCTCACGTAGTATCAACTCAGATATCCCCACAGTGTGATCCAGTGTCCAGTATAGGCAAAATCCTAACTCAGAGTAGTTGAATAAGTTGGAAAAAAAATGCTCATACCCACTGGACAAAGTCTCGGTGTATAAAAACCATAGTGTTTGACTTCAAACTGTCATGCTCACCATTTGCACAGATTTTGGTTAAACAGCTGAATTCTACACCTTTGTAGAAAAGGTAATTTAATGTTTTCTTTTTCAGGCTCCTCCATTGCCATCCTCTTCATCTTGACATTTTTTCATGGACATTAAATGAAAACTTTTCTGATATTCAGGAAGTGACCCAGTTCTGCACCACTGATTTTTGTAGCTATCCCGTAAGGCTGCTGGCTGAAAGCTGTGTCTATGCAACCTTCCAAGTGCGGAGTGTCAACCAACTGGACAGGAGAGAGCACTGCCTCCTACTCCAGAACTCAAAACAAATAAAGCTCATCCAGCTGTACTTCAAAAAAATAATTCCATGTTTTGTATATATCTGACAAAACTGGCAACATTATACAGACTACTGACTTGAAGACCACCTCTTTTGTATTTTCTCTGTTTCTGGGCTGATGAGTTGGTTTCATCCGTTTTTCCCCTTCAGAATTTCCCTTGGAAAAAGTACTAGCTTAGCTGGTCATTTCTTTGTAAGGTAGTTAGAAATTTTAAGTCTTTCTTTGGGCAATTTTTTTTTTTTTTTTTTTTTTTTAATGTGAAGAGTTAGGTGATATAAATTTTTTTACTGCTTTTATGTTTTTCTGTTTTGTTTTGAAACCATGACGGTTACACTTTTGGTTCCTAAATAAAATTTAAAACAATTAACAGCCAAGTCACAAAGATAAATGGGTTGCACATAGACTAAGGAATAAACTTCAGATTTGTGATTTTTGTTTCTAATCTTGATGTAAATTTACACTATTTATAAATACATATTTATTGCTTGAAAATATTTGTGAATGGAATGCTGTTATTTTTTCCAGATTACCTGCCATTGAAATTTTAAGGAGTTCTGTAATTTCAAACACTACTCCTATTACATTTTCTATATGTAAATAAAACTGCTTAGCATTGTACAGAAACTTTTATTAAAATTGTTTAATGTTTAAAGTTTTTCTATTGTTTGAGTTTTAAAAAGATTTTATGTACAGTGCCCAGTTTTTGTTCTTTTTTTGAATCTGATTATATATATTTTATATATACTCTTGTGCTTGTGTATATATATAATATATATAGAAACTCGAATATAAATATGTGTATAAAGATTTAGAGACTAAATTTTTCTCGTTTTAAGTTTTACATCTATGGTAGATTTGAGGTGTCTACTGTAAAGTATTGCTTACAAAAGTATGATTATTTTTAAAGAAATATATGGTATGTATCCTCAAGACATAAAATGACCTTCAGACTGGTTTATTGTTAAATTGCACTTTTTGCAATAACAGACCAATAAATAGTTGCTGCCAAAACATAGTAGTAGAAAATAAGTAACAGCTAAATTTTAAAGCTCTTCAAGAAAATGCTGGGTTTGACAGGAAGTTTGGCACTAGCTTCAGAGGAGAAAAAGGTGAATTTAAGTTTGGGTGGGGATGGTATCTAGAATTCAACCAAATCACAACTTATGTATTACAGTATGTTCTATTAACAATTTAAAAAGTTAAGACTGAATCACCTTGGCGTCATTGTTGACCCAAAAAAAAGGATGTTGTGCTATTCTATTGTATTTTCACATATTTTGTAATACAAATTCACTGGTAAATTTTTGAAGCACTAGGTTTATCTAGGACAAGTTTATAATATATCATTGTAACAGTTTGCAGTTTTAATTATGGTATTTATTTTAAGTTGCTCCTTTCTCATTAGCTTCTTGAAAATGCATTAAATCTAAATTTCAAAATTGATAGCTTTCTTATCGATCAGAGTTGACTGATGCAGGAGGTTCTGCATCAAACGATTTCTCATAATTTCTCATTAGTGGGGTATGTTAGTGATTGCATTGTTAAATTTTTTGTAATCGATGTGAAGTGTTAAAGGCACAGAGCATGCTGATAGTTTATTTTGAACAAAAAGAATTGCCTTTTACATTTGTAGCTTCAAATGAAGGGTGTTTTAATGAAGAATCAGTATACAGCTTGTCTACTGCTGTTACAACAGTTTAACTATAGTTATAAATGACTTTTTTTGCTAGTTCTTAAAACAGTTGGGCAAAAGGTTATGGGGATTGAAGAAAAATATAACAAACGCTCTTGCCAGCAAAATTATCAACTAGCAGTTAGGAAGCCAGTATTTACAGTTCTGTAAAGATGTAAGTCTCAGCTCTTGATAACAAACTCTACAAATCATAATTTTTTACTTATGTATTTTATGCAGTCATAAATATTGTAATCTTGACAAACCATGCTGCAACTGAAAAGCTACTCCTTTACAGTAGTCTTAAACCCAAATAAAAGCAAGATAACTTACCTCAACTAATGGCAAACAGAAAGTCCTCGTTTCTCAGTGCTATGAAGAAAAGTATTGCTAACTAGGGAAAGAGCTACCGCGTGCTGATCAAAAGGGCTGTGTACCTTTCCTCCCCTTTGGAAAAGAGGATATCCCAGTACCAAGGGAAGAAAAATTGTGTTTCACCAATGAACAAGTAGACCAAATCAGTTGAACATCAGGCAGTATTGTTCACTCTGCATGAAGGTTTTGTCATGGATTTGAATTGCTGCAGGGCTTTAATATTTTGCAGTTTTAATACTTCTTAATTACACTATGCTCCTAAACTATGGACAGTTTTGAACTATAAGCTGCTATGATTTAGAATGCTTTTGTTTCATTTTATTAAAAAAGCACAAGTTAATATTTTATCAGTTGTAGTTATTACGCAGCAGTTCTGCTTCTTAATTTATGGAGTGCACAAATGCACGTGAAGCATTGGTAATCTACGAATACTTCCAACAGTTGGGGGTGGAAGGGGAGGTGGGATTCCTGAGTGGAATGGAGGGGATCAACTTACTTTTCCAGTGAACCTTGGTCTTGTGGCCCTTGAACTCCACACCTGAGCCATACTGCGAGGGATCCTGGTTTGCTTATGCTTACAGATGGTAGCAAGCACATTAAAGGATGAGAGTGGCCAAAGACGTGACACTTGTTGAAAGAATTTTGAAAAGGTGTACAGGGCTAACAGAAATGAAGTGTTATTAATGTGTGGATGAAACTGATGAGATGAAATTGAGTGTTTACAAAAAAAAAAAAAAAAAAAAAAAGCGGCAGACAATTGAATTAAGAGAGAATTAGAAATAAACAGCACCTTTTGCTAAAGAACTCTGGATCTGAGGAATGTCCTGAAGGAGAACTGGAGGTGCTGACAGCACAGGGATCCAGTATGTGGAGAGAACAGAGAATCACATCTTTCTGAGCTAAATTTAAATTCCTCCATAAATATATTCAACAGAGCTTTGATCTTTAAGCTTGTCCTCAGATATGTAAATCGGGAGCAGTCTGTGCTTTTTGGGGGGGAGAAGTGATGTCTACCAGTTTTTCCATTTCATGTTGGTAGCCAAATAAGTGAAATGGATGGTGACAGGGCCTAAAAGTTCCTGAATTTATATGGCAGGTAACGTGGTGGCCCTGAAGTCAAAGTTTTGTGAATCTGCACTTCTATAGTTCATACAATCATAGAATCATAGAATGGCCTGGGTTGAAAAGGACCTCTAGGTCATCTAGTTTCAACCCCCTTGCCATGGGCAGGGTTGCCAACCACTAGACCAGGCTGCCCAGAGCCACATCCAGCCTGGTTGGAGGAAGAACTTAGAAAGCAGCATTAAAATGGCATTGCTTTGCTGAAATGGATACAGTTACCTCATTTCAGGATAGTACATTATAGATTGTTGGAACAAAGGTAGGCATGGACTGGGGACTCCCCAGCTGGTTCAGTCAGAGGAAGAGATAAAATAATTGATTAAAGAGATGGAAGATGCTAGGATTCAAATACAATGTTACGGAAGAGGGTGCTTACCCTTGGTTGCTGCCCTTATCCTGGGAAGGCATTTCTTGGGAAAAATTTTCTCAGCACAGGCCTAACAGGAGGGCTTTGAAGCCTGAGCTTACCTAGGTCAGCTGTTTTGTCTGGATCCATAGCAAAGGGTCATGGCCCATCAATTCAATGGTGGTGCCCACAAGTCTTCTACAGGACAGGGAAGCTTCATCTTCCGTGTTTGCTTTAGTTGGTGTGGGAACCAGTCAGAGGAAGCATTCCAGCTGGGAGAACAGAGGGTGACTGCCTTTAGGTAGGTTCATACCAGCTGCTCTTGTCTGCTTTGGTTGTGACAACACTGACGGCAGAGGAAGGAGGAATGCAAGTGATGTCCAGACAAGTTCAAGCTGAAGCTCAGGTTCAAGCAAGCTCAGTGCAGGGAGCTGCTTGCAGGGCCCCATGGAAGAAGGCTGCCAAGGAGGATGTTGCTAACAAGGCAGGCATGAGGCCCACTGTGTCCCAGGGCAGCGTCATTTTGAGGAAGTGTAGTCATGTCCTTCAAACTAAGGGGAGCAAATGTGTCCTACATATTAAGTAACTGGGGGAAGGGTTTCTGAAGTTGGCTTGGGGATGGGGTTTGGGAGAATGGAACACATTTCTTTGTCAATGGTAGCAGCTACCTACAAAGCTATAGAAAATAGCAAGCGGCTGCAGGGAGAGCAGTCTCCTCATTGCACTTGGAGTCCAGTAGATGCCGTGGGAGGTATGGGGGGCATCGCACAGCCAGATGATGTTGATCAGGCCTAAACAAGGCACACGGAGACAACAACTGATCCAGCAGGAGCCTTGACCCTGGCGCTGGGTGATGTCTGTGGGCTAGAAGACCTTAAGTGGGGAGGAGGCTGAGACCATCAGGGAGTGTGACTGGGAAATCGACTGGTGGAGTGACTCGCTGGAGTGCCAGAGGGAAAAGTGCCAGGGAGATATCCCCAGAAAAGTGGTGGCCCCCTGCCCTGTCACAGTTGGACAGACCTGACTGATGAGGAGGGTTGGAAGAGAGTCCTGACTCAGCATCACAGGAGACCCCCCTGCCTGCCTACCCCGCTACCCCAGCTCCCTCTAAGCAACAGGTTTCAGACATTAGAAATTGAAGGGGAGATGAGTGGGGAGGCATTGGAAGATTTGCCTAGGAGGGAGCCTAAGGCAAGGCTGTCACCCCCACACCCTGAGGCTGCCTCTGTCAGGAAAGAAAGAAAGAAGGGTGGTCATGGTGGGTGAGTCCCTTTTTGGAGGAACGGAGGCCCCATATACAGGTTGGACCCAAGCTGTTGGGAAGTGTGCTGCCTTCCTGGGGCCTGGGTCAGGGACATAACCAGGAGACTCCTAAAGCTGGTTAGATCCACTGATTATTTTCCTTTACTCATAGTTCAGGTGGGCAGTGATTAAATTGCTCAGAGAAGCCTACGAACTCTGAGAAGAGATTTCAGGGGTTTAGAGCATTTAGTTCAAGGAGCAGGAGCTCAAGTGATTTTTTGTTCTATACCTTCAGGGACAGTGAGGGATACGGGGTGGGCTTGGAAAGCACAAGCAATGAATAATTGGCTCAGAGACTGGTGTCGAGCCAGAAACTTTGGGTTCTTTGATCATGGGGCAGTTTACTTGGCCTGTAGCCTGTTGCCAATCCATGGAACCCACCTATCTCAAAGGGGGAAATGAATCCTAGCACAGGAGTTAGCGGGGCTTATTGGAAGAGCTTTAAACTAGCTACGACGGGGGGAAGGAGACAAAATAGGCCTCACAAGAGATGAGCCCAGGGGAACAATGCCTGAGCTGGGGGTGACGCAGATGGCTGAAGTGCATCTACACCAATACACGCAGCATGGGCAACAAGCAGGAGGAGTTAGAAGCGATTGTGCAGCAGGCTAACTATGACTTAGTTGCTATTACCGAAACATGGTGGGACTACTTCCATGACTAGAGTGCTGTGATGGATGGCTACAAGCTCTTCAGAAGGGATAGACAAGGAAGGAAGGGTGCTGGTGTGGCCCTTTCTATTAAAGACTGTTCTGATGTTGAAGAGCTTGGGAATGATAAATTTGAGTGTCTGTGGGTAAGGATCAGGGGGAAGGCCTGTAGGGGATACATCTTGGTGTGGGTCAGTTATAAACTGCCTAATCAAGATGAAGAGTTGGATGAAGCATTCTATGAGCAGCTTGCGGAAGTCGCACGATCACCAGCACTCGTTCTCGTGGGAGACTTCAATTTCCCTAATGTATGTTGGAAATATAATACAGCACAGAGGAAGCAGTCCAAGAGGTTTCTAGAAAGTGTGGAAGATAGCTTCCTTACGCAGCTGGTAGGAGAGCCTACCAGGGATGGTGCCCTGCTAGACCTGCTCTTCGCTAACAGAGAAGAACTGGTGGGAGATGTGAAGGCTGGGGACTGTCACAGGCAGAGCGACCATGAAATTCTAGAATTCTCTATTCTTGGAGATGTCAGAAGGGTGACTAGCAAAACTGTTATCTTAAACTTCAAGAGGGCAGACTCTGACCTGTTCAGGATACTAGTAGCATGGGTCCCTTGGGAGTTGCTTCTTAAGGGTAAAGGGGTCTGGGAAGCTGGATGCTCCTCAAGATGGAAATCTTAAAGGCATGAGAGCAGGCTGTTCCTGAATGCCATAAGGCGAGATGTAGGGGAAGAAGACCAGTGTGGATGAGCCAAGAACTATTGTTGAGACTCCAGAAGAAAAAGAGAGTCTATGTCCTCTGGAAGAAGGGAAAGGATGCTTGGGGAGATTACAAGGAAGTTGCTAAGGTATGCAGGGAGGAAGTTAGGAGAGCAAAAGCCCAACTTAAACTCAGATTGGCTACTGCAATAAAAGAGAATAAGAAATCCTTTTATAAATATATCAACATTAAGGAGACTAGGGGGTGTTGTTTGATGCTTGGCTGAACATGAGCTAACAGTGTGCCCAGGTGGCCAAGAGGGCCAACGGCATCCTGGCCTGCATTAGAAATAGTGTGGCCAGCAGGAGCAGGGAGGTGATCATGCCCCTGTACTCAGCACTGGTGAGGCCGCACCTTGAGTACTGTGTTCAGTTTTGGATCCCTCACTATAGCAAGGACATTGAGGCCTTGGAACGTGTCCAGAGAAGGGCAACTAAACTGGTGAGGGGTCTGGAGTGCAAGTCTTATGAGGAACAGCTGAGGGAGCTGGGTGGAGGCTCAGAGGAGACCTTATTGCACTCTACAATTTCCTAAAGGGAGGTTGTGATGAGGAGGGGTTTGGCCTCTTCTCCCAGGCAACAAACAGGACCCGAGGAAATGGCCGCAAGTTGTACCAGAAGAGGTTTAGGTTAGACATAAGGAAGAACTTTTTCTCTCAGAGAGTGGTCAGGCACTGGAATGGCTGCCCGGGGAGGTGATGAAGTCACTATCTCTGGCAGTGTTCAAGAAGCATCTGGATGAGGAGCTACAAGATATGGTTTAGTAACTTGTGGTAGCAATGGTGATGGGAGGGCAGTTGGACTAATTGATCTTGCAGATCATTTCCAACCTTGTGATTCTATGATTCTCTGAAGCTGGACTCTCACAACCCATAGCATCAGTGCTGGGGATGGGAGGGAGGAGGTTGTTGCCAGGAGATTACCCATTATGGTGATCACAATTGCTGTTGCCCCACCTGGAGCTTGGCAGGGCAGTGGGTGTATGCAGAAGGTAAAGATAATGTGGGAGGATGGAGATGGGATGGAATTTTTTTGTTTGTTTGTTTTTTGTTTTTTGTTTTTTGTTAGAGACTGCTGCATTCCTACTGAGTTTCTCTGAACTGAAGGGTGATGGTTCTCTCTGGCAGAGGGCATCATGGTCAGGCTTTTAACACAATGGAGCACTCCTCTCAGGAGTCAATCTTGCACCATCATTTTTCTGATGGAGGGGATTGTCAGGCCCAGCTTAAATGCACACTGCTGCTCAGGATATAGGAGATGACACATTGTTTGGGATTGAAGCTGGTGAAAAGGAAGACCAGATCCAAACAGGCAGAGGAGAACAAAGACCAGGTGATTCTTAATTGAGGGGACAGTGCCTGAAGGAATGGGCTACAGCACTCACTGAATTCACGGGGCTAGCAGTACCTGAAAGACTCCCACCTAAAGGTGGGATGTGCAGTCCAGTTACTGCAGAGCTTATGGGAAAAAGTAAATGTGCAGATATAAGTTTGACAGAGCTGGCTGACCACTGCATGCAGAAGCTTTAAATGGTTGAAAGAAAATCTTAATCTGTTCAGTTTTAAGGCATGGGCATGCAAAGTTTGGGTTTCTGAGGTTTATTTTTTCTAACACATCATTGCCAATCAGTCATCCTACTTTTGTTGTGAAAAAAAAAAAAAAAAAGCCAAGAAAAATAGCTATCAAGCAGTCACCATCACTGCAGTTTGGTTTTGGTTGGGAGTGTGGAGGGATTTTTGAGGGCAGTGGCACTGGGCAGTGAGCTCAGCAGCTGCAGCACTGCACTCCGTGTAAGGCCACCTTGAAGGGCAAATGCCCACAGAGCTGAAGATCCAGAAACATATTCCAGCAGCTCAGGAGCTGTGGAAAGTCTTGGGGCACTTACTGCTCTGTATTTATGTGCGGGACCTCGTCTTGCTTGAGATACCAGCACTATCAGTGCTATTAAATGCTAGCAATTTGGGGGATGTGTTCATGTTCAACAGGGTGGCTCTGCCAACACTAATGTTGGACACTGGGAGGAGAATGGGAGGCAGCTGAGTCTACTGAGAGCAAATTATTCTGGGCTTGGGGTCTGGTTGGCTACAGCATGCTGAGTTGGAGTGTGTTTATGGCTGTTGCTCTGTATTTGGCCCAACCCTCTATCTGATGCTGCTTTGTTCCATGTGGGTTATCCATGTGGATATTCATTGCTATCCACCACAGCACTAAAGGAAATTGCTGTGTCTGTGGGCACTGAACAATGTTTGTACTCTGTGGCCATAAGAAAAGATGCAGCTGAGTATCTAAATCCTCCTCAGGAGTTCTGCTGGGCTATGCTGGAGATGGAGCAAAAACATCTCCCCAAGAAACAAAGGAAAGGAAGGGAAAGGGAAAGGGAAAGGGAAAGGGAAAGGGAAAGGGAAAGGGAAAGGGAAAGGGAAAGGGAAGGATGGGAAAAAAAATCACTGAAAGTATTTGAACAAATGTTCAGTGAACCTCTCTCCATCCTGTCTAATGGGTCAACAGTGCACGTGTGTGTTTGGTAGTTGGTGATACCTTTGAACAGCCGCTTCATGAACAGCTTCAAAGTAAAAAGCAAAAGTGGGATGAGCTTTCCAACACAGATCAAAATGAGCTGGCAATTATCCTAAGTGCAACTTAGGTTCTAATTTTCAAAATCAGTGCAAAATGCCATTTACAGAGATTGATGGAGTCTGAAGCAATTATTGCAGTGTTTTGAAGAATACCATGGCTAATTCTGTCAAAGGCTTATTTACACAACAAGATTGGAGAACATAAGACAGCCGTGAATGAAGTGCTGTTGTGTTTAAATAGGTGTTGGATTGGCCTTGTGCTCACCAGGAGCTGGCTTCAGCCTGCCCATCCCACTTGTCCCTGCTGGCAAGTGGCAGGTAGGAGACTGAGAGCCCACCAGCATCACCCCATTTCCTTCCCTGCAGCCATGAGTGTTTGGGTATGCGGCTGGGTGGTGACGGGCTGCATTTTGGTGTGGAGATGGTGATAGGGGAAAAAATATATACAGATGAGCAGTTCTGCTGAGAAAGAACCATGGGAAGAGATGAGGAGGTTTTTGCTGGCAGATTTGGCACCTGTGTGGAGAAGGCTGAAGTGTTGTGCTTCACCATATTCCTTCCCCTCCACCAGTTATTACCCGTGTTTGGCATTGTTGCCGTTACAGCAAATACCCAGGGAGCTTGTGCACTGCATGGGTGGTGGAGATAGGAGCTAAAAAAGAGGTTTTTCTGTGAGTCCATTTCTGCTCATCTTCTGGAAGCTGGATGGCGTGTCTGCTGTCAAAAACTTGAAAAAACACAGAAAAAAATCCTACATAAAACAAGAGAGCTGCTCTCTGCTCTGTCTTTTATTTATTTGTTTGTTTGTTTGTTTGTTTGTTTTTACCTCCTTCCTAGCCCAGATGCTATATTGTAAGCTCTCAACCTACCATCGGAGGAACTCTTCCCTTCTCAAATGTCTTCTAGGCTTTGCATGCTCATCTCAGCACTTCTTTGTGGTTGTGCTCATCTCTGCTTCTTAAAATACACATCACCTTTTCTTAACCTTTAACTCCATACTTTTTATCTTTTTGTCATCACTAAGCAGCCTTAACAAAGGCATTCAGTGCATTGACATAGTTCTTGCTTCTCAACCAAGCTCATCAACTTTTCTCAATGCATGTAATGCTCAAACAAGAGTAAGAATTTGAGTTTGAGTAGTAGGTTAGCTTCAGGAGAAACTTCAAGTCTAGAAGATGTGTTGGTGAGATTAGGTCAGTGCTGTCCATGAGTCTATGCTTGTCACTGACAATGACATATCCACTGGGTACAAGAAAAATTATTTGGAACTTTTTTTTTTTTTTGCAAGGTGATGCACTTAGTTGGGCTACCTGATTATGGTATGGAACTGGGGTTCAGTCTGGAGAAGAGGATGTTCAGGGGAGACCTTGTCACTCTTTACAGCCACCTGAAAGGAGGTTGTGGCGAGGGGGGGATCAGCCTCTTGTCCCAGGTAACAGAGATAGGATGAGAGATAATGGCTTCAAATTGCACCAAACAACGTTCAGGTTGGATATTAGGAAAGGTTTCTTCTCCAAAAGAGCAGTGAGGCAGTGGCACAGGCTGCCCAGGGAGGTGGTGGAGTCACTGTCCCTGAAGGTGTTCAAAAGCCATGTGGATGTGGCACTGAGGGACGTGGGCAGTGGGCATGGTGGGGATGGGCTGATGATTGGACTGGGTTATCTTAGAGGTCTTTTCCAAGATTTCTTTTAAGATTCTATGATTCTGTGGCATTATATGCCTTAAAGTTTGAGAAGTATGCCTTATTATATGCCTTAAAGTTGGAGGAGTGTCCCTCCAACTCTCCTCCACCTTAGTTTCCATTACTGAAATTCAGTTTTCATGTTGATTTAACTAGAATTATTATGACACTTTATTTTTCTTGCTTTTGCCTCTTGGCAGGTTCATTGTCTATGGCACCGTGATTCCCTGCCCAGGATGTCCTCCTTTCACCACTCGCTCTTCTTGTATCATCTCTGGGAATGCTCAACCCAAACCCACCCTCCCTTCTGTCAGCTTGTTTATAGGTGATTTCTCACGGCAAATTATCGGGCTGGGAAATACTCCCATGTATGTTTCCAACCTGTGAAGTCAGCTTAATGGTGTGTGGTTGATCTGATGGACTCTGAACTCAGCAAACTGGGAGCAATTCCTGCAGGCTGGAAGCTTAGGAAAGGGCAGTATTTTATTACAACCCTTTTGCCTTAGGTCTGCAGTTGTTATTGTCAGGTCAGCAGAGGACAAAAACTAAGTTCAATGAGGAGTAAATGGATAGGAGTTGGTCTGCTTTTCCATTCCTGAGGTTCCTAAACTCCAAAAAGCAAACAAACATCTGATTGACTCCTTTGGACCAGTTTGAGTCCAGCTGAGGAGAGATACTTGTTTTAATCCATGCACATCCACTAGTAGCTGCTTCAGTTGTTGAAACAAAAAGTCTCTTGAGGGCACCTGCTCTCTATAACTACACAAGATTCGTTTTTGAATGACTGTTTGGTTTTGATTGTGGTGAAGGTTTGTCCTGAATGAATATTTCCAGACATGTGAAGTGGCTGTGCTGGCAAGCTAATGTAATAGATCTGGGATCTCAAAGCTCTCATGTCCTATTACCCATCTCCCTCCCACTCACAGTGCAGATACTAAGACAGTGTTTATGCATTAGGATAAGCTTATTTCCTTCAAGAGTTGATGTTCTTTTTTCTCTGAAAGGAAATATTAGTGGAAAATTAGGGTGTTTCCCTGAGAAGGCAATGAGTCATCGGTAGCTATGTTGCAATAGCTTTATTCATAAATATTGTTAAATTATTCACATCTTTAATTTCATGGATATCACAAAGCAGGCGGCATTTTTTCCACCAAGGAAGATGTTTCTCTGCTCATCAGAATGGGAGGCCAGCCATGACCTGTGCTTCCCCGGAGGGACCCAGCTCTCCTTGCCAGCCATCTCTGTGACTGGGGAAATTCACTGGGACTGATGTAGTGGGCCAGAACTCTGCTGCTGTGTATGGGAAGCACAGCAACACCAAAGTCCCATTTGTAGAGGGAAGGTCTGTGACAATTCTCACCTCCAGCATGTAGGTTTTATACTCTAAAACCCAGGGAGGTCTGGATAAATTTCACCTAATTTTGCTTTAAGCAGATGGGCTGAAGCTCCTATTTCTATTTCCTCTTTGAGGATCTGCCTGTGAGTATCTTTGCAAATGACTGATTTCATTTTCTTTCACAGCCTTCTCTTCCCCAAGTCTCCTGGTGTTGGGGTTGCTGCTGGCTACAGCACCTCTTTTGGCACATGTTCTGCTTCTATTGTGTTGGAGAAATGTGTTGGGTGTTTCTGTTTTTTATTTTTATTTATTTATTTTTTAATCAGCATCCATGCTGTTAGTGAGTAGCTCTTTTCATTTATTTATTTATTTTTTTTCTGGGACTGCCTTATTGTGGTTCTGCACCTAATTTGCCTAATTTCTGCATTTGATTTCTGCTCTTTGAAGGGTGTCTGTTTCCTTTGAATCACGCTGCTGTGCTGCTGTTTAGCCACCTGGGGTGTGTTTGTAGTTATTTTTTTTTTTTTATTTATTGTTGATGCACATTTACTCTGAGTTTCTAATGTAGTTTCTTTAAACAGATCCCACTGTTGCAGGGCACTTCAAGAAGAACTTGGGCAGCCATCACAGCAGAAGAGGCTTTCCTGCTGGGCTCCATGCACAGCTCAGAAAGCTGAATTTCCAGTGTTGAGGGGTTAGACTAATTCTTAGAGTAACAATATACATATTTCTGTGAAAGCTCAAGGTCAGATTTGTATTTGTGTTCTCCATTTGGAAGCTACTCTGCTCGGCCTCCCTTTCCCTGTAACTTTATATTGCTGTAAATACAATCCTTTGGTCATGCAAAAGCTGTATTTTTAGCAAGCTCTGCTTGGCTCCTACCTAGGGGAGTGCAACTGTGAAGTTCAGCCCAGCCCCACAGCCCCTGCCCCATCCCCCCTCCAGGGGGATGTCCACTCCCGTTGGATGACACACTCAGAAATGCCAACGCTACTGTTGGATAAAAACCTGAACTGCTTCACTTCTGAGAGTTTTCTCAAAGCACCCTGACAAAGCAAATTCCCTCTGAGATTTTCTCACCATTCTGCTCATACAGTTGCTTTCTTTCAGCCACCCTTGTAGACAAAAAGGGAAGCCCTTCTGTGTGAATCCAGAAAACACAACCAAAACTTAAATAGAGCTTATAAGCAGGAGGGAAATCAACATTATACACAGATAGATAGTGATTGGATGAAGGAGCTTTAAACTAAACGAGGGGAGATTTAGGTTAGATGTTAGGTGGAAATTCTTTCCCCAGAGGTTGGTGAGGCGCTGGCACAGCTGCCCAGAGAAGCTGTGGTGCCCCATCCCTGGAGGCGCTCAAGGCCAGGTTGGATGGGGCCCTGGGCAGCCTGAGCTGGTGGGGGGCAGCCCTGCTTATGGCAGGGGTTGGAAACAGATGGTCTTTGAGGTTCCTTCAACCCAAGCCATGATCCTATGATGAAAGCAGCTGACAAGCAGGCATCACCCCAGTCTTCATCGGAAAATGCTGTGATTCTCTGGGACTTGTGTGGTATTATCCTGTGCAGCCTTCACAGTGGCAAAGGTGACACAAAGACCCAGTCTCTGGTGGAAGGGGACAGGCAGTGCAAGCAATGCTGTGAGTGAAAATGGGAAAGGATATGTAACTAGTTTCCCAAAACCTGGGCAATTGTTCCCACCTTTTGCCCATATGCTGAGGGGGTTTACATTTTGGAAGAGGAGTGGTGATATAGAGACTCCCCTCAGTGACTTCTGGAGTGCCTATGAGTTCTCTGGCAAGTGGGTATTTCTTCTAGTTCCATCATCCTTCCAGTGTCTTTTCCCTCCTTTTCCTCATTAGTACCTGGATTGTAGGCAAATCCTTACTTTGTTTGGCTAGTAGAGGTAGTACAAACATTTAACATTTCTTTGTCTCCAGCTTCAAGAGGTTGGAAAAAATGAGTCAATGTTTACAGCTGCTTTAGCCAGAGTAGAGCAAAAATCCAAAGGTGAACCTCTTTTGAGTTTTTCATATATAAAGAACACAAAGAGAGGGAGGTCTTTTCATCACTGTGAAAAGTCTTGAAATGGCTTGATTATTATTATTATTATTTTTCAGAAGAAGAAGAAAAGCTCACTATTTTAAGACATCACTAGAGGAATGAAATTGACAAGCCTCTATCCAACTGAATGTTTAAATTTTGAAAGGAAAAAGAAATACAGCATGACTGACACGGTCCTTTTAAAACACATAATACGCTGAACTTAACATGACATTTCCGTGGGTGTTAGTCTAAAAAGCTATCTTTATATGTAACATAGCAGATGAACTATGGAAGGCAAGGTTGTATCTGTATGCATTGTTGCTCAGTAGTACTACAGGACTGAGAAACCTGGCAAACTTGCTACTTAAATTCCCAAGAGAAGAGGTTGGAGTATTCCTGCTCTTTCAAACACTGAAAAAGTTTGCTTTAGACTAAATTTATATATATTGTGTTAGAATGAAAAGAGCTTGGTGTTAAAAAGCTGCAAATCCCAGCCCAGTTCATCCCTAAAGAAGTGAGGTGCTCTTGGAGAAGTGCTACACAGGGACCTGGTGGAGTGAAGGAGGTGCAGCTCTGACTCTCATCAGTACTCGTTGTCTCTTCCTGCTGAGGAAGCATTTGTTGTCTTGTTCCTAGTAAAATTAGGAGAGGGCTGGGGTCACATAACCAGCCCCTGACCCGGCTTGCTGGTAGGAAGAGGTGAGAAACAGTAGTGGGATTTTCATGGCCCTTAGAGTAGGATCAAGGAGTGATGGTAGCAGTGGGGACTCCTTTATAGAACAATAGCATCCTTCAGCTCCAAATGGAGATCTCTTGGGAAAGAAGAGCTTCCACTCATTGCTCCAAAGAGCACAGATGTAAAATGCTGCAGAATAGAAGTATTTCAGAAACACAGTTTCTATCTATAGTGAGAAAATCAGCTTATTCTTGCTGCCCCTTCTCCTCTGGTGGTCCTCCAATTTCTCCTTTTTTAGGAGGATTTGTCTCCATGTAAGATATATGGAGCAAAGCTCTAAGGGCTGACGTTTTGTCACACCTGCAGGAGGTAACTGAGGTGAGTGGGTCTCCCAACATCAGTGGCCACCCTTGCATGGATAATCTCCAGCAGCCAGCCTCCAGTCCTCTAGGAGCCATGTGCAATCATGAGGCTTCAGGTCTCCTAGAAGTAGAGACCTTGCAGATCCTCTACCCATTTCCATGCTAGTCTTACTGCAGCATATCTAGTGTACTATCTACCACATAAACCCACATTCCTGTCCAACACTGAAGTGAAGAATGACACAATCACAGAAATCTAAGAACAACTTATTCTCATCCTGTTACTGCTACCTTCTTTCTGTTTGATTATTCTTATCAAGTGTCCCATCTTTCTGTCTGTTTTTCTTCTTATTTTTCTGGACTTCTGAGTCAACCTCACCCTTCCCTGTGGGTCTCTTTTTAGTTGTTCAAGCCTTCCTTGATGAGCACTGGCTAAGAACTAGCCAGACACCCTTTGGCTCAGTTCATCTCCTTACAGAGGAGAGGAGATGATTTGGCCATTTTCTCTAACCAGCAGGAAGAAAAGGGTACCTCCACCTCCACATCCCCACAGTATGCTTTCCATGAGCAGCTGTTTTCATTTCATTTTTCTTTCCCTGAAATTCATGTTTGCTTGTTCTGAATTTCAAGATGCCTACCCAGGCTCTTTTTAGCAGTGAGTTAGAGTAACATAGGATACAGTGGCAGCTAGATGCACCTATTAATCAAATTAAAGCATCTTGCTAAATTAATTCAGAAAGCCTTGGTGCTGGCTGTTGTGATTTCATCATGTCTCATGACATTCAATAATTTTGTTATGGCTTTTCTCTCCAGATTCATGTGATAATGGAAGAAGCTGGGGTTTCACTTAGGAGGAATTAGCAATAAAGTATCTAGAGCACCTGGCTATAGAGAGTGATTGGCAGATGAGACCCAAGAGCGCCCTAAAGTCTCAGATAATCAGAAAGCAAATAAAAAGCACCTGCAATGAACATTGGTTGGCTGAGCTTGCTGGGATGGCCCTCACTCAAAATGTGTTTGTCTGGCTGCTCCAGCAAAAAGGAGTTGTTGAGCACCAGATTCTTGAAAATGCTACAATGCTTTCTGGATAGCACCTTGTGGGAAGCCCAGAGGGGCGTAGGGAGTAAAGTGATGATCACTTGCTGCCACGCTGAGAAATGAGAGTACTAAAGTACGCCACTAGATGAATGAAATATGGCAGAAAATACAGTTTTATGAACCAAGACTCTCTTGACATAAAAGCTTAAAAAAATGCAGGATATTATACGGCAAGAGAGACACCTAATAAACACACGGACATAAAGACTGCACAGATATAGGAAGCATTCAGACTGCATGTAGGACTGGTAGAGGACCAAAGCAGTTTCTTTTCCTGTTGCAGAAATCAACAGGCCTGGAACGCTCTATGTTGTTAGCAGGAACAGTTTGCAAAGGCTTGCACAAAACCACTGTCAGAAATAACTCAAATGCAGAGAGGAAAAAATTACTCGAGAGTTCTTTTGGGGAGGATTAGGTTTAAAATAATTGCCATTTATAAATTAATTTCACATCCTTTTGGATTGCGGCCTACTCGCATTTCAAGGCCTGACTGAAGCTGGCAGACAGGGTGGGCACTGATTCCAAGGCCTGACTGCCAAGAGAAAAGAAAATATTAAAGTAAAAAATTGGCAGTGAAAAAAGAAGGCCAGAGAAATACAGGGAAATAAGATTTAGTTTAGGAAAATTATTACTTTCTGAGCCACGGACTGATTCTATGGCTGGCATATTAGTCATGCTCTTACATAGACTTGGCCTTTGTAATCTATGTCTGAAGAGAAACTGCTGATCAGCGCAGCTTCTGCTGCTTTCATATTTTTAAATCCACGATCCAGTTATTTTTAATCGCATTTGAAAAAAAAAAAATATTTCAAAGCCTATTGAAGGAAGTGGGGACACCCTTCTCAACTTCAACAACTTTTAATCAAGTTGTATAAAAGAACACCTCACGTGTCTTAAAACTCCTGGCATTTTGCCACCTGGGTCCATGGCTCCTCCATTCCTCCCACGTGGCATTTCAGGATCATAGGATGTCAGGATCCACTCAAAGCCCAATGGACACCCCTTGGTCCTTTTGCCTGGTGCTGGCTCAGACCTGAGTCATGAGTTGACAGTGAAGACCTTTCCACAGACCCATTGTTTGCAAATTATTTCTCCTGCGGCATGGAGAGAAGAGAAATTTAGGTTGGATGTCAGGAAGAAATCCTTTACTCAGAAAGGTGGTGAGGCACAGGCTGCCCAGAAAAGCTGTGGTGTCCCATCCCTGGAGACCAGGTTGGATGGGGCCCTGGGCAGCTGAGCTGGTGGGGGGCAGCCCTGCCCATGGCAGGAGCTGGGGCAGCGTGAGCTTTGAGGTCCCTTCCAACCCAAACCATTCCATGATTTTATGATTCTGTTGGACCAGACAAGTTCTTCCCCTCGGGGCTTTTTGGACAATTTTGCTTACAAACGTATGAACCATGCTACCCTTCAGCACTGAGTGCAAGATGACAACAAGCAGCCCAGGGGGTAGCACCTAATTACTAATTAGTAAGTGGTGGTGAAGCAGGAGATTTTCCTTCCCCAGTGAGAGGCTGCCAGAGGGGGAAACTTGCTGGAAGGGAAGGGGCCTGATGCCAAGGTGCAGCTTTAGGTAAAATCACAGACTGAGAGATCAAAGATGCAGACAGATTCCAGAAAAACTGTTGAAAACAGATTGTTAGGCAGCCTTATGGATCTAGCAAAGGACATGTTTTTCGTACTGGAAGAGAGCCACGATGTAGAAATAGACTGAAATCATGAAAGAGGGCTGTAACAGTAGCTTAGGCTGTATATTTAAACATTTTTTTTCTGTTGAACCATCTGGACCTGAAGCTAAACTTACCTACAAATTATTTTCAATGTTTCTGCTTTTTGAGAGGTGAAAGGTGTAGTTGATGTTTCATGCCAAGAGGAAAAGTAAAATAAATGTCCTAGGTCAGATTTTCCCAGTGTCAGAATGGCATGTGTTTTTTTTTTTTTTTTGGATACCTGACATGCACTGCCTTATCCGCAAGCCCAGTGCTCTGTGTGCACAGAACCCCTCCTCAGCCAACACAAAATCTTGACTTGCTTTCCTGTTCCCTTTAACTCTGTACAATCATTACCAATGCAAATGCACTCTCATCTTTTTCTGGTTTTATGCTTTTTACTGGTTTCCTTTTTGAACCATGGCTAGAGGAAGACAGTTTCCATGATGAAAATACTTACAGGGGGATCCAGAACATTTAGTTTCTGACTCAGCTTAGTCAAATATGGTCGGTGACTCCTCCATGCCTGAATACCAGAAGAGAAGTAGCCCCTTGAGCATAGGGAAAGTTTAGTGTGTTTCTCTGATACCTCACAAGGAACTCATGGGTTGGGGATCAACATACATTAAATGGTTACCAGTGACATGACAAAAGGCAGTGGGCACAAACTGGAACGCAGGATGCTCCATCAGAACACCAGCACTGTGCAGGTGATGGAGCACAGGCACAGGCTGTCAGAAGGGTTGTGGAGTCTCCTCCTTGGAGATGTTCAGAAGCTATCTGGACACCCTACTCTTGGTGTCCCTTCTGGAGCAGGGGTTGGACCTGTTTACCTCTAGAAGTCTCTTCAAACTTCAGGCATTCTTTGATTCTAGGCAAACCATGATTTGCTATTCTGCAACTTTTGCAGCCTTTCTGCAGAAAACAAGGCACATATGTCTAATTCTGTGTGAAAACACAAGTCCACCACCTCAAATTGTAGGTACCTGAGTTAGTCCTTTGGGACTGACTTCCAATTTCTCCTTTAAAGGGCAAATGGATGAGGAAATAGGAATAGACGTTCAGATGGTTTTACTGCTTATGGTAAACTAATATCTGAACCTCTGGCGATGTTGTTTTTCTTCTTAAGGTAATTTTCCCATTTGAATGATTTTGTTTAAATGCTTCCTTCCAGTTTGCTTTAGAGAGAAAAGTATGAAAGTGTCTTCTGGACAGCCACATCTAAGAGTTGTTTTTTGTTGTTATTTTGGTTTGTTTTTAACCTGTAAACAAGAACACTTATTAGACTCCAATTACTGCCCATCAACTTGGAAAAGACTAAAAGTAAGTATATTTTAGGATTAGAAAAATTAGGCCTCAAGAGACATTGTCTCTTTCATCTTTTTAATGCTGTTGATTGCATTTTTCTGTTCTGTGTGCCATAAAACTAATAAAATTTGAATAGTCTATAAAAGTGATCTGTGATAGATGAAGGTAAGGGACTCATCAGGTGGCTCAGTTTATCTGTGATTTTTAGAGCATTAAAAATCTCCACAAAGAAAGTCTTAAATGCTTCCATCCATCTCACATTATGTATATATCATCTTGATCAGGAAGTTGTTCTTAGCAATAAAATTCTGCTATCTAGCTAGCTGTGAGCACATTGCCTTCAGAGATCTTCTATTTAATGGATGGCATGGAAAACTCTTCCAAGGCCAAAATACATGAAGAAGATTTATTAATCCTGTAGTCTCTGTCACTCATGATAATGTTTATAATCCATAAGCCTTACATCACTTCTAACATCCCAAGTAACAAATGCATCTTTGGGAGATGAACAATAAATCCTGTGTGCACTCTGTTCCCAACTCCTTCATCTTTGCGAGGAAGCCCCGGAATTGGTGCAGCTCCATTCAGCTACTCTGGTTCCTTCTTCTTCTTACCCTGGTTGGGGATGACCCTGCCTCATTCTTCTTGGGCAGCCTTCCTTCAAAACCATCAGTATTTGTCACTGTATTTGCAGTCCGGGTAGCGGTAGGCAAAACGTGAATCGCAAGACTGCAGAGGCTTCAGGAGATGTGCCAGCTTTGCCATTGCCTCATTGACATCCTGGTCATCAGTGAGGCCCTCTACACAGTGCTGTAGGAAGCTGTCTATTTTCTCCTGTACAGATGGCAGGAATTTCCCCTTCAGGAGCTTAGGTAAAAGCTCTTGACACACCAAGACAAGGCTCTGCTTCTCTCTGATGGAGTTACAGGACACAAATGCAGACTGGCAGTCCACGGTCAAACAGCTAAATATATCCTTATACTCCTGTTGGCCATCCATCGGTTGGCTCCCTGATAAAAATAATTAAAACAGTTGTTACAAAAATGGGAGCAAATGGGGGATGTCTGTTGGGTCAAAGTGGGGTGGAAGAAATGAGAAGAACCTGAGCAATAACCTAGAACATGGAGTTCCTACAGAAACCACTACAAACAGTCAAACCCATATTTTTTTCATGTTACCCAAAATCATTAAATTGCAAAAACAGCTCATCTAGCTGGAGTCAAGACAACCATAATATCTGCTAGGACAAGAAAAAAAAAAAAACACTGAGTGGAAAATCTTCTGACAACTCTTTCTGAATATTTGAGATGCATTCAGCTGAATGTTTAAGTTGAGCAAAGGTCTTCTGAAAAACTAAACACTCAAAATGAAATTGTTAAATAATAGTATTCTTTGAAATATTCTTTGTCTAGCCCTACTTCCAGTAGTAGACCAGTCTAACCTGTGGAAAGTGAATAGCAGTACTTCATTTTAAGCAAGACTGACAAAAGAGGGATTTTGTTATCACTGTATTAATACTATTACTGTGGTAAATACACCTTAAAAGACCCAATGTTTTACTTGAAACAAATGAACCTATGAAGAATCTCTTTGCAAATACTGACATTTGTATGATAAATGTTTTACAAAAGAGAAGTAATGTACTGAGTGCATAATGGAGAGCGCATTGAATGCTGCTGCCCATTACAGAGAGGAAGTTGCAGGACTGAGACCTACATAGCATGCAGAGCATCCATCAGTCACTGCTCCACTGAAGGCACAAGCAAAATGCCTGCTGCTTTCCCTGCTTGGAGCCAGGATGGCAGGCACTGCCTCTTACTGCTGGTAAATCTCTCCTTGAACTTTCTAATGTTTAAGCTTAGCAAGAGATGTTTGGTTAATTAAAAAATAAATAAAATAAATCAGCAGAAGAGCTGGACATAATAGGTGAATGATTTGTTTTGCCCTGTTGTGCCAAGCCCCCCTATGACAGACGCATGGGCCCAGAACCTGCTGAGTACCTTCCTCCTTGTCGATGATGCCCAGCGTGCTGGCATCCCGGATGAACAGATGCCCATTGCTGAACACGCCAAAGGTGCCAACGTCCACACGGGTGAAGTAGAAGAAATAGTTGAGGTCGTTGTTGCCCATGGAGCGGAGGACGGTGAGGAGCTGGAGGGCCAGGTCAGCTGCTACCTCGGGGCCTGCCCTGAAGAAGTCGCTCAGGGGCCGGGTGCTGGCGCTGACCACCAGCCGCCCACAGGAACCCAGATACCGTGGAAAGGGCCACCCTTCCACGTCAGGGAAGATCTGTCAGGAGAGGGGAGAGCAGCGCTGACACCTGACCCTGCTCACCATGCTCTCTGCCCATGAGCCCACCTCCCTCCCAGGTGACTTCAAATGCCCCAGCAGCCAGTATGGAGGCACAGCTCCATACTACATTTCTCTTTTCTTTTGGCAGCTAAGGAAGAAGTCTGATATTTCAAGATCTGTTCCATGAAGGAGACTAATTGGAATGCATAAGACAATAATAGATTTTAAATTCATTAAATTTTTAGGCGCAGAAGAGCTAATTTTAGGTTTCTCTGTGGGGTTTTTGATGGCTCCCTCATGAGAATGACAGAGCTGAAGTCACAGCTTGAAGGTGAGGTAGAGCTAGAGCAGTTTTTACTGATTTCTAATACTTGTGTGGCCATTTTGTAAGATGAGACTTTGCAGGCTCCCGGACAGACATGCTGGATATTTGTTGCACTGGGGACATCTGAATGGAGCTTACAACTGTTGTGCTGGCAGTGAAGCTGCCCCAGGCCTTTATGTCCCAGGGTGGAAACTGCTCAAGTGCTCCACTGTGCATTGTTCCCCCTCCCTGGGTAGACGAGCACAGTGGCTTGAGGCAGGTGGAAGAGGTTGCATCATATCTCAAAGGGATGCAAGAAATAGCAGTGACAGCTAGAGGAGAGATTGTGGTGAGGATATTCCATTGGAGAGCCAATAAAGAAAGAGAGGAGATCGTGTACCAGGAGAGGACCAGAGAAGCTCTCTACCTTCAAACTCAGAGCTCAATTGTATGGCTTGGTTGAATCCATCAAACACCTATGCAAAGCTGCCCTGTGCTATGGAGCTAGTAACCAGAGGTATGCAAACAGTAACAGCCACAGCACGGTGAGCCTGAGTAATCTGTGCCCTGTGTATCCATGTTCCACCAGAATGCTGCATCTTGACTTCACATGCTAAAGCATGATCTCTGGTTTTTATAAATACTCTGAATTTTATAAACAGACTGTGATTTTGAGTAATATATTACCAATTGCAAACACGACAGTGAAACATCGGAGATGTGTAAAACCCCATCTTTCACATTGCACTATTGTAATAACACATCTGGCTCTGATTTATTTCAGGGGTTGGGCATCTGTATCTCTCATCAACCTCAAAGTCTGATGTAAGGAGCCTGCAGGAGGCTTCAATCACCCAGCCCCGTAGAAGAAACATGCGCCATGAATTTTGGGGAGCTTGCAAAGGGCAGCAAGAACTGGGGCATGTCTCATGCTTGCAACAGGCTGCGGGGTGATGTTTCCAGCCAGGGCAGACGGTACCTACCTGTAAGAGGATAGGGTGTGAATTCACTGACAGGGTGTACAGGAGGCGCAGCTTGTCCTGCTCGGTGAGGTGATCCATGTAGATGCTGCCAGCATCTGGCACTTCAGCGTAGCGCCGCACAATCCGGTCCAGGAGACGCTGGGATGGGCAGCGCAGCATGGGGCTGGACAGACCCTGGTGTAGGGGCAAAACATGAGAAGGATGTTTATCTTCCATCTGTGAGATACCACAGATTTTGGAAATGGCACCCAGTCTTCATGGCATGGCCATGGCCTCCACCAACCCCATTTCCCTCCTTGCTGAGCTCTGCACTCCTGCCTCCAGACTTGGCAGCACCCCTGGCCTGTGGCTGCCTCTCCTTTGCTCTGCCAGTGAGTCACATCCCTCTTCAAACAATGTTTTCAGAATGCTTTCCCTGCTTGCTTAGCCTACAAGCAGCATTCTTGGAAATACTCTTCCTTAAGGTCAGTAAACATGCTTTAAAACTGTAAATAAACTTTGTACATGGGCACCAGCACAATATATATTATTTCTCTGAAAAACTTATGCATTAGGTATCAGAAACAAATTTGAATAACCTGGGCATATTTTCTAGTAAATGCCAGCAATGAGTAAAGAAATGTTGGGCTAATGGCTTCAGTGTCACTGTATTTCACCTTTTAATTTAGGGCATGAATGTGTAAAATTGTAATAAGTGACCTACGGCTGGGATAAATGGCATATACATTTTATACCTGTGTTGTAGAAAAAGACCTTTTTTTTAAAGTCAGTGTTCAATTACCAAGGAGGGGTGACGTGGGGAGGGCTCCTGATAGCAGTGCAGAAATGCTGCTCAGCCTTTCCTCTGTTGGAGTTGGGCTTCTGCTAAGTCTCTTTCTACCAAATGATTCAAGTAGCCAAATTTATCTTTTGGGTTTACTTTCTAATTTGGTGGCTGTGAGATACTCTGCAGAGGACAGGGCACTTGTGCTTACATTTGCTGCCTGCTATTCTTCATGCTGGGAGCAAAAATTTGACTCAGGATCTCCCGAAGTCATTTGGTAGCTCTGAGGCAGATCTCTCACAGCCTTTCCTGCACAAACTGTTCATTATTGGATTGAGTGCACTCTCAATAACTTTGCAGATGACACCAAGTTGAGAGGGAGTGTTGATTTGCCAGAAGGGAGAAAGGTACTACAGAGGGACCTGGATAGGCTGGATCGATGGGCCAAGGTTAACTATATGAGTTTCAATAGGGCCAACTGTCGGGTTCTGCATTTTGGTCACAACAACCCCAGGCAACCCTACAGGCTTGGGGAGGAGTGGCTGGAAAACTGCCTGATGGAAAGGGACCTTGGTGTACTGATGGACAGTCCTGAATATGAGCCAGTAGTGTGCCCAGGTGGCCAAGAAGGCCAATGGAATCCTGGCTTGTATCAGGACTGGTATGGTGAGCAGGACTAGGGAAGTCATCCTGCCCCTGTACTCGGCATTGGTGAGGCCTCATCTTGAATATAGCGTTCAGTTTTGGGCACCTCAGTACAAAAAGGACATGGAGGTGCTGGAGCAAGTCCAAAGAATGGCAACAAGGCTTTCAGGGTTTTCATGACTAACACAGTGAGTGACACCTGATTGGAGCTTGATTATTTCCCTTTTCAGTTGACACAGAGCTGGTGAGTGGGGTTTCAGCTTGGAGCCATGTAGGCACAGGGGAGTGCATGAAGAGCACTCAGCCTTAGCTGCCAGCCCTAGCACCTCCCACTGAGCCAAGAAACATTCCAGATGCTCATCCACTGGTGCTGCCACATATATATCAACCACTGTTGCAGTTTCCTACAGTTTAATGACACCCCTGGTCCACAAAAACTGGGTGGTGGGGACTTTTGGTTTTGGCAGAGGAAGTCTGTAGGAAGTTTGGCATCTACATTAGTGTTTCAGCAGAGCAGGGCCCTTGTTTCCAGCAAAATGATGGAAACATACCCACAGCCATAGCTGTAAAACTGTCAGACAAAAACTGCCAATGGAAGAAAAATTTGAAGAATGTACACTTGAAGACATGGATGAAAGTGATTTATCTCAGAATATCTCATGTCCTTTGCAGTGTATTATCACCCTGGAGAATAAGATTTGACAGGCAGCTTGACATCTTGTTTGTGATTGACAATGGAAAGCTTCTTATTTACTTTGATTAAATTCCTACATTTCTGTATTTGATAATGAGTACTTCCTACAATGCCTACCTACACTCAGCTGTGATTTCTATTCCCTACTGCATAACATGTGATCTGTGTTAAACTCACATGTATGCATATGTATGCACATCTCATGTCGATGTACCCTGAATCCATCAGACAGGATGAAAAGATGGCCTCTGGAAGACATATTTTCTTCACTTTGCTTTCTATTCAGCCAGTCTGAGATAGAGCACTGCTCAGTGCTGCTCCATGCACCACTACCTGGATACAGCTTCACCAAACCAAGCTTGGGATGGGACCCAGCAGAAGACTCCTGATGTAGGTGATGAAGCATATGCAGCTCCTGGCTACTTGAAGCCAAGCGTTTTGTTCACCTCCAAAAAGAGAACCTGAGACTACCCTATGAAGCCGTGGAACTCATCTCCTCTGTATCACCACTGCTACTACCCTTGCATTTTTCCAGGCCATGCTTTGTAGCCAGGATTATAACTTTTCCTGCAGGCAACCTATACTGAAACTGGGCCACATTTTTGTTGTTATTCCCCTCCAACAAGGTGAACCAGCGATGTGGTTTGCAGTGACAAACTTCTGGGCTAAGGTGTAGGCAAAGCAGTGTACAGGGGTGCTGCTGCATGGGTTACAAAACCAGGATAGGCAACAGCACAGAGCCTGAGCTGAGCTTCACTCCCAACAGGATTTTAGTAGTGAAGGCTTTGCTGCCTCTGATAACGATTTTCATTGTGATGGGTGAAATAATCAATGTGGCAGCTCTGCTGGTAGCTGGGGCAGGCAGGGCAGGCAGCGTAAAGTGGAAAAGCTTCACTTCACGGTCTGTCATCCTGATTCGAGGATGTGGAGGGTTGCTGTGATTCCCTGTTACAAAAGACAAAATTACTTCAGCCCAATAGCTTGTCTCAGTGCCAGTACTGCAGTGAGGGGAGAGCAGGAACACTTGGGTGACCATAGGATCATGAAACAGGGTGGGAATTGTATTGGGCACCTCTGTTAGCACCTCCAAAAATGCCAGAAAAGTAGTGCTACAGGAAGGAATTCACAGTGGCTTACTGTATCCCAGGAAAACCCCTCTGACGGCTCATGCTAGCCTGCATTTTCTGAGGTGCTCCTGTGGCTGTGGGCAAGTCGGACCAAGTGAAACCAATGTACTCTTTTGCATAGGTTGAGAAAACTGGGATTGTTCAGTCTGAAGAGGAAGTTCAGGGGAGACCTTATCGCTCTCTACAGTCACCTGAAAGAGGTTGTGGCGAGGTGGAGGTCAGCCTCTTCTCCCAGGTAATAGAGATAGGATGAGAGATAATGGCTTCAAATTGCACCAGACGAGGTTCAGGTTGGATATTAGAAAAGGTTTCTTCTCCAAAAAAGCAGTGAGGCAGTGGAACAGGCTGCCCAGGGAGGTGGTGGAGTCACTGTCCCTGGAGGTGTTCAAGAGCCATGTGGATGTGGCACTCAGGGACATGGGCAGTGGTGGATAGGTTGATGGTTGGACTAGGTGTTCTTAAAGATCTTTTCTAACCTTAATGTTTCTATGATTCTATTCTATAATTCTATATCCCAGAATATATATGCTGTTAAAACAGATTTACATACTAATGTCAATTCCTCCACTTGATTTACAGAGCGAAAGAGCCATGAAAACAGGAGTGGCACAGTTCTGAGGCCAACATGTACTAATTCAAGCCTTGCAGCCTGAAGTGAAGAGTACTCTCTTCACTTAAAAATCTGCTGGGACTGCTGAGATGTTCTGTGGAGCTTGTCCCTAGACACATCCTCCTGAGCTGGCCCTGAGGAAGCCACTTAAAAGGTACCTCATGGAATAATAGAATCCTCAGAGTTGGAAGGGACGCTTAAAAGTCATCTAGTCCAGCTCCACTGTAATGAACAGGGACATGCATAGTTAGATCAGGTTGCCCAGGTCCTGACACAGCCTCACTTTGAAAGTCTCCAGGGACAGGGCATTCACCACAACTCTGGGCAGCCTGTTCCAGTGCTTCACCACCCTAACTGTAGAAGACTTTTTCCTTATATCTAATATAAATCTACCTCTTTAAGCTTGAAGCCATTTCACCTTGTTCTATCACTATTAACAAACCTTACTAAAGAATCTGTTCCCTTTTTTTCCTGTAGCTTCCCTTTAGATACTGAAAGGCTGCTATCAGTTCATCTCGCAACCTTCTCTTCTCCAGGCTGAAGAGCCCCAGATCTTTCAGCCTGTTCTCATAGGAGAGGTATTCTATCACTTGGATCATTTCTGTGGCCCTCTTCTGGATGTGCTACAACAGATCCATGTCTCTACTATACTGAGGACTCCCCATCTGGATGAAGTACTCCAGGTGAGGTCTGACCAGCCCAGAGAAAAGGGGCAGGATGACCTCTCTCAAGCTACTGGCCACACTTCTTTGGATGCAGCCCAATACACAGTTGGCTATCTGGGTTGCAAAGGAACATTGCTTGCTCATGTCCAGCTTGTCATCCACCAGGGCTGCGCTCAATCCTTTCAACTCCCAGCTTGTATTGATAATGGATGTTGCTTTGACCAAGGTGCAAGACCTTGGATCTGGATTTGTTGAACCTCATGAGGTTCACCTGGGCCCACTGCTCAAGCCTGTCTAGGTCCCTCTGGAGTGCACCCTGTCCCTCTGATGTGTCAACTGCACTCCATAGCTTGGTGTCATCAGCGAACCTGCCAAGGGTGCACTTGACCCCACTGTCGTTGATGAAGTTATTAAAGAGGATTGGTCCCAGCGCTGACCTCTGTGGGATACCACTAGTCACTGATCTTCATCCAGACATGGAGCCATCGACCACTGCTCTCTGGACTCAATCCTGCAGCCAGTTCTTAGTCCATTGAATAGTCCACCCATCAATCCATATCTTTCCAAATTGGAGAGAAGGATGTTGTGGAGTACCATGTCAAAGACCTTATTGAAGTCAAGGCAGATGACTTCAGTGGCTCTTCCCTTGTCCATTGATGTAATGCCACCATCATAAAAGGCTACTTGGTTGGTCAAAAAAACTTGCCCTTGATGAAGCAATGCTGGTTTTACTGTATCACCTCCCTATTCCATTCACCACAGCACAGATTCCAGGACGACTTGCTCCATTATCTTTCCGAGGACAGAAATGATACTGACAGGTTGGTAGTTCCCAGGATCATCCTTTTTACCCTTCTTAAAAATGGATGTGATGTTGCCTTTTTTTTCCAGCCAGCTCATTTTTAGGAGATACGGATCCATGAAGTAGAAAATCTAAAGTAATGTGTCTGTAGCACACAACAAAGCTGAGCAGTGTGGCAGTGTGCAGACTGGAGGAAGCTGTTGCCTTTTTAGGAAAACAAACAAACAAGTCCCTTTCTCTTCCCTCTTTAAAGGGAGAACGATGCTCTCAGGATGAAAGAAAAGAGAGGAGAAGAACTGGAATAACCCTTCCTCACCTCACAGGGGCTCATTCCAGAGTGCACACAGCCCCCACCCTGTGCCAACAGTAATTAAAATGCTTTGCTGTTGTTTTAAAGGGGAAAGTGTGTGTTTTTGAGGAGGGTGGTTTTGCTCTCGGGAGCCACTCAGCTACTGTTCTACAGAATCAAAAATCATAGGGATTGGAAGAGACCTCTGGAGAATGTCAGGTCCAACCTTCTGCTAAAGCAGATTTCGTACAGCAGCTTGCACAGGCAAGTATCCAGGTGCATCCTAAATATCTCAAGAGATGGAGACTCCACAACCTCTGGGCAGCCAGTTCCTGTGCTCTGTCACTCACCTTAAAGAAGTTTTTCATAATGTCTGTATGGAACTTCCTGTGTTCTAGTTTATATCCCTTACTCCTTGTCCTTTTTCTGCACACCACTGAAAAGAGCCCAGGCACCACTGAAAAGAGTTCACCATCAGCCTACAGAAGAAGCCAGAAGCCCCAGTCTTACCCTTCCCAGGTAAAACCAAGAGGCCATGCCTGGCCCACCTCAGCACAGGGCAGTCTGGGCATCCTCTTTGTGCCCCAGGCAGGAACAGAGCCTGAGCAGGCTCCTGTGCATCCCCATGGGCTTACCTAGTTTCATGGTGGAGCACTGACCTGCACCAGGTCGGGCGTGAGGCGCTTGGCCCTCAGCCACTTCTGGAAGCGGTGGGTGCGGCGCAGGGCCTGCTCTAGGCTGCACGTTTTGGTCTTCAGCAGGGAGGTGCAGATGCGCTGATCAGCCCGGTCATGCTGGTACTTGGTGGTCAGGCGGGTGATGTCAACCATCCTCCAGCTCTGGGTATCATCGGTGTAGTTGCCCAAGTAGCTGAGCAGGTAGCTGGGGGGCAGCTTTAAATGAGAAGAAAGCCAGGTGTCAAACCTGCCAAACCAAAACGAGAGCCCCAGGGAGAGCGGGTTAACAGACCTCGCCAACGCCCACCGCGCCAGCACAACCACCGCTTTGCCCTCAGGCACCACGGGGTACTGCAGAAATCTCACAGAGAGGTCTGGGGGATTTTGGGGGGAGTTCCCATTAGCACCACTGGGGCACTTCTTCCCAAGCCATGGATGGGGCCCGTGTGGGTTCGAGTGTGATCGCATGTGCACTCAGTGAGAAGAGTGGGTGGACAAAATGGACAAAATGCCCTCGTTCATTCCTCGCTTAACAATATTCTTTGTTATGGAGTGGGAGAGGAGAGAGAAATGCTAAAATTTGGGCCACACAAAGAGTAAAAAAGAAGGGAGAAGCCTCAGGGTTTCGGTTAAGAGGGAATTTCTGATGTTTTGAGATTTCCTAAGCTGCAAAGGGAAATTGGCCAAAAAAAGGAATAATCAACACTTTCAAATACTCTGCAGAATAAAAACTTCTGAAAAGAAATGTGTTTGGAATTATCAGAATGACCTTTCTTTCTGAGGTGGTGGCATGGTCACAGCACCAAGCTTGCCAGAGTTCAAGTGTCTAGACGATTGTCTCAGACATTTGGTCTGATTTTTGGGTGGTCCTGTGTGGAGCCTGGAGTTCTATTCGATAATGCTTATGGGTCCGTTCCAATGCAGGATATTCTATGATTCTATGATTTACTTGGTGTTAGTGCATGATAGACAGGTGTAATTTTTTTTCATTACTCATGGAATCATAGAATAACAAAATGATAGAATGGCTTGGGTGAAAAGAACCAGAAAGATTATCTAGTTCCACCCCCCTGCCATAAGCAGGGTTGCCAACAACTAAATCAGGCACTAGATCAGGTTGCCCAGAGTCCCACCCAATCTGGCCTTGCACTAATGCTGAAGTAAAGATCATGTAAGATAGCATGACCAGCAGGTCAGGGGAGGTGATTCTGCCTGTCTGCTCTCGTAAGACCCCACCTGGAGTATTGTGTCCAGTTTTGGAGCCTGCAAAACAAGAAGGACATCAAGCTGTTGGAGCGGGTCCAGAGGAGGGCCATGAAGTTGATCGGAGGGCTGGAGCACTTCCCCTGTGAGGACAGACTGAGAGAGCTAGGGTCTTCAGCCTGGAAAAGAGAAGGCTGCGAGGAGACCTCATTGTGGCCTTCCAGTACATAAAGGGGGCCTACAGGAAAGCTGGGGAGGGATTTTTTTAAAAGGGCAGGTAGTGGTAGGATGAAGGGAAATGCTTTTAAACTGGAAGAGTCTAGATTTAGACTAGATACTAGGAAGAAATTATTTACCGTGATGGTGGTGAGACATTGGAACAGTTTTGCCCAGTGAGATTGTGGATGTCCCCTCTCTGAAAGCACTCAAGGCCAGGCTGGATGAGGCTTTAAGCAACCTGGTCTACTGGGAGGTGTCCCTCCCAATAGCAGGAGGATGGAACTAGATGATCTTAAAGGTCCCTTCCAACCCAAACCATTCTATTATTCCATGATTTTTTTTGAAGTTTTCAATGCCATTGATAAGTCCCTAGGAAAAAAAAGTTTAATATCATGACTGTTTTCCTCAACTACAAAACCTTCTCTGGTGCTCAGACAGTTTTCCTAGCCAGGTCACAGCTCTGGGCAGCTGCTTTCCTTCCACCCCTTGGGCTGAGGCCAGAGGAGGAGGCTCAGATGAGGGTGCCTGGCTGCCTGTGCTGGCCCCATGACCAGGAACTCTCTTGCTATAAGGGAAGATGTAGGGTATGGGGTGGAAACACAGTGCCAGGGTCATCGTGTGCCTCTGACACAGCCAGCAGGGTTTTAGCAGCCAGGATGCAAGACCAGGATGTAAGACTACAGAAATTTTGGGGGATCTTGGCAGGATAAGGATGGGACACTTTGTGCCAGGCGCATGGCACTGCTGTGGCCATGAGCACTGTGCACCAAAATTCTCCCCCTGCACAGGCCCCGGAGGGGAGTGTTCAGGCCAACCAGTTAGGCTGTGATGATGTTTTTTTTGGGCAGCACTGCCTGAGTGGTGCTTTCTGTAAGCTCACTGGCAAGATGCGAGAGCTCGGCTGAATCCCAGCCTTCAGCATGGCCAGCGGCTGAACTGGCTGCCCCTAGGGTCTCCTAATTATACACTGCCAGAGTGCATAAGAAAGCATTTCTTAATTTAATCTCACTATAAATTAAAGCTGATGATAGCTCAGAACTGAAACAGGAGAGGCAAGGGGTGCCCTTCAGGAGCAGCTAGCTGCCGGTAAATGAAAAGGCACTAATGAGGCCGAGGGTTGAAGCTAATTTTTCTTTTTGACTTCCAGTTGGGAACTCCACACTGAGAAATGTTGAGGGGGTTCATTAGCTTTCCTCCCCACTAAATTTATCCTTCAAGGATCAGTGTGCACAGCCTCTTTCTGCTCCCAAGAGCTGGTGGCTTCTCGTGCCAGGGGTGCTCTCGGACACAGAAATGACCAGTTCCTTCTGCAGCCAACAGCTGGCCCCACGCCGAGGTCAGGGCATTTTGGTCTTTGGGGCTTTTTGCCCAGTACGAAATCAGAGCTTCCCTATGATCTGAGTATCTGACCTAAAATGAACTCCCCCCTCCTCTTTTTAAAAAAATTTTTTTTGGCTGGTTGTGAGATTGGACCAAAGAGCAGAAAGTGATTGCTGTGCCTTGCTGTGATTTGCTTTGCGTCACGACCCCTCCCAGTGCCTAATCTGTAAGGCAGGCACAGCATGCCAGGCACGTAAAGGAAAGAGATGGCTACAGGCTGGGACTTTCTTTCCTTCTCTCTCTCTCTCTCTCTCTCTCTCTCTTTTAATTAAGCATAAACGTGCCTTGTGACTTGGCTCGTGCCCATCTCAGGGGAGCTCATGTCAGGCAGGCACCAGTGCAGAGCTGCCTCCCTCAGCCATCGGAGCCAGGATGCATGACACAGCGCAGAGCCCAGCTCTGGGCATACAGCACTGGGAGAGCTGTTTCCCCAGGGCTGCCAGGGGGTCCCAGTTGGGGTCATAGCCACTCTGTGCTTGGCATCGTTTCCAGGCAGCCCAATGCTGGCCTGGCACGCGTGCTGGATGCCTATGAGATGCATCACTGTGTTGTGCCACAGCAGTAAGTCAGCCTTATGCAGGGCCTGAGCAGTTGGCGAGATGTTTGGTGAGATCTGCATGAAGAGCTGATTTGCCAGCTGTGGGGTTTGGAATAGCCCAGAACTGAACAAGGCAGGAAATCAAACTTGCTTTTCATTATACTGGATGATACCAAGTCTTTTGTTTCAGCCAAAATAATTTTGCTTGTCTTTGGAGTATTGAATATTTTAAATATTTATATTAAATAAGTATTAAAAAAAAAAAAGAAAAAAAATAAAAAACAAACAAAGAACAACAACCAAACATTCCAGCTTTTTCAAACTTTTCTAGTACTTTTGGCCAAAACTAGTTACCAGTGTTGACACAAAGTTGCAAGGAGAATCACAGACTCAAAGAATGATTTGGTTTGGAAGGGAGCTCAAAGCCCACACTGCCCCAGCCCCTGCCATGGGCAGAGCTCCCCCCCACCAGCTCAGGCCGCCCAGGGCCCCATCCAACTTGACCTTGAGCACCTCCAGGAATGGGGCACCACAGCTTTTCTGGGCAGCCTCTGCCTCACCACCCTCTGGGTAAAGGATTTCCCTGACGCCTAACCTAGGTTTCCCTTCTTTTAGTTTAAAAAAGTTCCCCTTGTCCTATCACTATCTGCCTGTGTAAAAAGTTGATTTCCCTTCCCTTTCCATAAGCTCTTTTTAAGTACTGGAAGGCCACAATAAGCTGTCCCTGGAGCCTTCTTTTCACCAGGCTGAATAAGCCCAGTTCCCTCAGCCTGTCTTCATAGGAGAGGTGTTCCAGCCCTCTGAGCATCACACCAATATATCATGTCCCAGTGCAAATTAAGAGAGAAATCCATCTTTGTGAACATAGGAAAAGGTACGTGGGAGTGTATATAGGAGTGCCTCCGAAATTCTCTACTTTTGCTCCAAATTCTGACGGCTTTAGGAATTGATCAGAGGGGCACATTTCATCCCTTCCTCTCTTGGTGCTGCATACCCTCACATTGCCTGCAGCACGGGCCCAGGGTCAGGAAGCCAGGGGGCACTGGAGCAAAAGGGAGCATTGGGCACAGGGTGCTGGCGTGCCACCTCATCCAGAGCATCCTGGCTTTACTGTACAACGTTTAATGGAGTCACTCCATATAAAAAGAGTGGTTTGCCCAACGTTATACTGCTCATATTACAGCAATAAGAGTACAATTTTGCTATAGTCATTCCTTCTCTCCCAGGTTTTTATATCTATAAAAGCAAGTGCATCCGGCTCTATAAAAGAACATTCATCCGGCTCTCTAAATCTCATCAGACTCAATAAACCCTTCCTCTGCCAAGTGCTGCCTTTTACTTTCTCCTCAAACTTATCAGCGACATTTTCCTCCTGCCAGCATATGTGCTCTGCTTTGAGCCCTGCTTGGGGCAGCCTGACTAAGGCAGTGGACATCCCATCAACCTGGAGGCAATTCTGCACATACATGTTCTTGCAGCTGGTGCAGGGTGGTACGTTTGTAGCTAACATATCCAACTGTGAGAATGCAAAGCGAATCAGCCCTCACCTTTCTCAGCTGCTCATAGCATCATACTTGCAGTGACACTGAAACGCACTGATTTCTCCCTTCTCCCCCCTCCCCCTTCCATCACTGTCTTGAGCTGTGCAGAGAGCTGTACCTTTCACTCCTGCTTTCAAGTTAAGGTTCAGGGCTGAGGTCTGATCAGGTCTGCATGGCTATAAAAGAAAACAGAAGCAGAGCAGCAGCATACAGACATGAATTAAAATACGAGGTGCTGCAGTGGCAGCCTGGTGATGTTATCTTTCCATTGGCTTCCAATAAAGTACTGGGAAATGCTAACAGGCAGTTTTCAAGTTACTATGCAGAAAATGACTGTGCTGAGTTTCTGACCTTATTTCTTCCTTAAAGAACTTCTTGCAAATGGATGTCCCAATGCAGGCGTTGCATTTATCAAGTCCCAGGAAAGTGCGGCCAAAGCTGTAGCTGGGTCTGACGTGGGGCGCAGACGGCGAAGCTGTTGCTGCTGCAGAAGGGTTAGAGCTCCGAGCCAAAGCCAGGAGCAGAATCAACCAATCTGCAACTCTGGAACAAAGGCAGCATATCCAGCGACCCATCTACAGTAGCGGAGAGCTCTGTCTGTTGCACACTGTCCTTCTGAAGGCTCCTAGATCCTCTCCAGTGATCTCAGTCCAATGCGGTGAGCCCCGAAGCATAACCAGACGACGGACACACGGCCGCAGCCCCCATCCTGCCAGCTGCTCCCTGGTTCTACCGGTGTGAGGTTTGGGTGGGGGAGATATGGTGCAGGGTGGGGAGAAGGAAACACATGGAGGATGCAGATAACTTAGGTTGCCGTGGTTACCTTTCCTCTCCTTGCGGCAGCTGCTTTGGCCCCGCTGACCCTCCCATTGGCGGGCTGGGAAAACAAGGCAGAGGAGCACTCATCCACACTTTGTGCAGACAAACGGAGGATATCCTGCTGCTGGAGCAAAGGGCAAGTGTGGGATGCTCAGTGATTGGGAAGGAATAATGGTGTGGCAAGAACACGTATTTAATCTGAGTCCTGGCCCTTTGCACTGCTTCATTCCTGGAGACTTGCTGTGACACATGGATGGACTTGTTGGATGCTCGCTTGGCTTGGTTTCTCCCTCAGAGAAACACCAAAAACTCTGACTGGTGATATTGTCTCTTGGAAATGGTGCTAAAGCAGACTGCAGTGCCATGTCTCCTGCTGTAGGATGTGGGGTAACCTGAGGCTGCCTGAAACAAGCAGCTCAGCTAACATGCCTGTGCTCAAGTCATGCCCTGAACCAGAGCTTTGCAGCAAGGCTTCTGAGTGCCTAAGGGGCACTGGGAATAAGCTAGAGGATGGGTTAGGGCTAATGCAAGAGCTTGCCAGAGGCTCCCAATACACTTATAAACCAGAGGTCACACCCATAAACTGCTCACCTTTGGCCAGAGTTGTGAGGGTTGCAGACACTGCTGGCTCTCCAGCCTGGCCTAGAGCAGGACTTAGGCTGGACACCAGAAGTGCGGCAGAGGCAGCTCTGGCCAAGGTACTCCTCCTGCATTCTGGAGGGAAGGCAGCCTCTCCTCCCCTTTGCATGAGCAAGAGGGTGATGATGGTATTTCGGGTTTGTCTTCAAGGGAGCAGCCCAGCAAGGATGACAAGCACTGCAGAGAAGGCAGGGGATGCAGTGCACTCTGCCAGCTGCAGAGGAAAGAGGCCGTGCTGTTCTGTTACACGAGCATTCAGCACGCAACACTACTCTGCACATCCACGTTTGGCTGTGTGCTCTGGTGTAAAGCTCTTTGGAATCTGCTGGTGAGAGTGCCCACACTAGAGCCAAATGCTCATATCCAGAAGTTTATCCCATTCCTTGGGAGGTAGCTGCTGTCCCTGTGCAGACATCAGCACTTTGCATTGCTCCCTGCCAGCAGCTCTGCATCACCCATTGGCTTAGCACTGCTCCTACCCCGCTGTTCTCTAATGTTACCAAAATTAAACACTAGCAATCTGTCTTCATCTTCACTACATCATATATAAAGCCCATATCCCTTAGTTTCTCAACATTCTTCAGGCTTCATTTTTTCCCTGATGATTTTAAGTACAATAACCCAGATTCCTGGCTGCCAGTTCAGTGACCCAAGGAAAGGGGAAGGACTTCAGCTCTGACCTTTCCCATAACAAGCCTGGGCACTCCAGTGCTCTCACATGAAAAACACACTGGCAGCAGAGTTTCTAGTTCTACCAATGCTATCTGGATGGCCAAGATGATCATGCACTCTTGATTGATTTAGGAATGCATATACCAGTGTTTCCCAAGGAACAGCATATGCAATTGTATTTTCCTGCTCCATGCCTGCATCACCCTAAAATGTTACAAAAGCAGCTTTTTGTTCAAAAAGTGGGAACAGGTTAATCAGAACCACATCAGAAGCTTGTCCATGGCATTTGGACAATGGACAATGGACAACACCCTGGAGGTGTTCAAGGCCAGATTAGATGGGGCCCCGGGCAGCCTGGTCTAGCATTAGGTGGGAAGGTTGGTGGCCCTGCATGTGGCAGGGGGGTTGGAGATTCATGATCCTTAAGGCCCCTTCCAACCCTGGCAATTCTGTGATTCTGTGATTTGCACTTGCCCCCATGACCTGATCTCCTTGTTCCACCAAGCATTTCTGTTCAGCCTTGGCTGTTGCTGAGCACAGATGAGGTGCATAGGAAACAGTCTTGAAAATGAAACTTAGAAATTATACATAGATCTCTGAGCTAGTCTGTGATGGCAGCCAGAAAGTGGTCGTTTGCCATATATTTTGAGAATTGCTATGCTTTTGAAAGAAACCTCTTTCAAGGAGCTTTGTTGCCTCCATCCTGGTGATATGGCATGTGGATGTCATTATCACACAGCTGTCTTCTAAGTCCTCTACCTATGCCAGGCAGAAGCAGCAACTCAGGTTTACAAGGTGCTGGTCACAGCAAGTTCTGATGGAGTTCAGCTCTTTTGGAAGGGCAGCCCCAAAGAGCCCAAGAGATCTGCACATATCCTTGCAGCAAGACACTTCCATGAAACAACATGCACAGAGCAATGTTGTGCTTGCTGAGTGTAGAATCATAGAACCATTAAGGTTGGAAAGACCACTAAGATCACTGAATCCAACCACCAGCTCACCCCCACCATGCCCACTGCCCATATCCCTCAGTGCCACATCCACATGGCTTTTGAACACTTCCCGGGACAGTGACTCCACCACTTCCCTGAGCAGCCTGTGCCACTGCCTCACCACTCTTTCAGAGAATAAATCCTAATCCTTTCCTAATATCCAGCCTGAACCTCACCTGGCATAGTGTAAGCCCATTACCTCTCATTCTAAACAAGAGAAGCCATCTAGCATGATGCCTCCTGCAGATCTTACAGATCAGCTTAAGCTATACTCTACTACAATGGCAGGTATTTTTTCAGTGTGTACAAAAAATCTGGTGTGATTTTCCAGAAATAGACCCACACAGCCCTCACCAAACCCACCAACCAAGCTCAGCACGACCTCCTTTCACCTCTATCCCTCTCCCATCTCCACTTAAGTGGACACGGCTTTGCAGATGAGGAGTCCTCTGTAACTAATTAACTAACTGATGGATGAGGCCACTCACTGCATCAGAACAGAGCAGATACAGAGGAGCAGGATTTGCAGCGCATGTCCCCAGCAAGGCTCTCATTGCTCTTCACCTCATTTCCCTCACCATTCCCTCACCAGATTTCCTGCTGCAAAAGGGCCCTCTCAGCAAGCACGGGGTTGCTCAGCAACAGAGAACTGCCTGGTGGGATGCATGATGGCTGTGTTGCTCTACCAGGTGCAAGAAAGAAGAAAATACAGGAAAAACCAAACTTTGGCTGGAGGAGAGGAGACTGCTGCTCTTCCTGAGGTCTGTGGTGGGTCGTGCTGCTCTCAGGGCCTGATAAGCCCTTGGCAGTTGCTCAGAGGAGTGCTGCAGGATGAGGGGGAGGTCTTGCAGGGTGTGGTGCAGAAGGACTGTTCTTAATTGTGATTTTCATTAATCACATCCAAGATAATCGTTAAACTATTGCCGAGCAACCAGCGCAGGCTTGGTTCCGAGACACTTATCATTTCCATCCCATTTCAGGCTGGATGTGTGGATTAATAGCTAGAACAGCTTGACACATTTTCAATTCTTTCAAAATGAAAAATGCATCTTTTTCAGCACTACAAAACTCACAATGTTTGGAAGGATGCGATCATTTCCTTTTTCTGTTGTTTTTTTTTATTTTTTTTTCATGATTATGAAAGAAACATCTGTTTTGGAGTGATCTGCAACACAAAATTTCTGTTCTAGTTGGACTAGAAATGGACAGCTTCTACTACATGCTCTTGCTTTCCTTTTTTCTCCTGCTGAAAGAGAAAAGACAGAGGGAGAGAAGGAGAAGCAAGGAAGCAAACCCAAGCCACTGCCCACACTGCAAACAAAGGCAGAAAAAGCGGCCACTGAGGTGTGGGTGGTGTCGAACACCAGGGTTGAGTGGGTAGAATGTGTTTTCACTGCCATTCACTATGTGAAGATTTGACGTTGTGAGCGTATGGATTTTTCTACGTTTTGAATCAATGAAGATAATAAAACGCAAACAAAAATTTGACCTTTTTTTTGCCTCACCAGGAAATAGTGTCCATTGTTTGACAAGCCTAGATATAATTCATCAGAAGCATCAATAATCTACTCTATTATTAATATAAGAAAACAGTTGCTGCTCAGTATCTATAATATTTTTTATTCTTCCAGGCTCCCGCTGCTGCTGCAGACCAGGAAGCCTGCTGCTTGGAAATCTCTGCCTCTGCACACTGGTAGGCAGCTGGAAGCAAAAGTCAGCTAGAAGAAAAGCCTTGGGCTCTGTGGCTGGCAGATAAGGGCAGTTCTTGTTTGTAAGAGGCTGAGATGTCAGCACAAAAGGCCACCGAATGCTACCAGCTACGGTGCTGCCTCTGGCATTTAGGGAAGATCATGAAGAGCAGCAAGAAGTATAGAAGATCCTGGATTTTGGTGCATCGGTGTCTACAGGCAAAAAAAGAGATATGGTGAACTTGAGCCTAGAGGAAAATGACAGTGAAATTGGTTGCAGACCAGGTCCCTTGGCAGGGGTGGAGGTGATACTGGTTACTCCCTGCACAAACCATGCAGGAGACAGTTGAGGAGGAGCCACTGGGAAGAGGAACAGAGCTCACCAACAAGGAGCACTCATCCTCCACTGCGTGACCCTGGAGCACACACAGCCCCAGTCTTGCACATCCCCTGCAGCAGAAGCACTGGTGTGTGCAGCAGGATTTCCTCTGGCAGAGCAATGGCAAGGAAACAAAGGGTCCCTCCCAGGCCAAATACATAAATGAAAATTATCCTCTTTTGAGAAAATGAGAAATATTTTCATGTCATGCAGTTTTCCAGAAGAGAAAGACCTACCAGTGATATTTTTCTTGGATAGATGCTATTGAGCTTTTGTCCAAACCACTAAATGGATTACGAATAATGCAGACTTTTTGGTGCCATAACTTCACATTTTCTATCAAATTCATCTGTGAAGCAGAAGCAGGACAAAACAGGGTCATCTGAAATAAAAAGGGCATGGCAGGAACACGCTCTTTGAATGGGCTGGCTAATGAACCACAGCTACTGAAATAGCAGCTTGGTTTCCAAAGTGAAATACATTTAAAATAGGGGCATGGAAGGATTTCTTCTGAACTAGTCACTGAGTAAA